TCCGACCAACCAAGAGTCTCTCCGTGCTTGACTGTAGAAGGGCTCCCGTTGGCGCCCTCAGACTGCGGCATGACTACAGATGTTGATCTCTTGTGACTGATAGTCGGGATGTTTTGACTGGATGTTGTGTGTTGGTGAGAGTCATCCGCACGCTTCTTGCGGACCGTTACATTTCTCATGAAATTGCCAGCTTCAGACTCGGAGGTAGAAGAAGATTCCCTACCCAGATCTTCTGGGATAATGTATTCAACCAGATTGGAAGAAACGACAGGTGCTGGAAAAGCACTATGTGTTTCTTGTGTTGGTGTCGTCTCCCCAGAACCAGATGATGACCCCCACAATTGACTTTGCCTGTCCGGAACGTTCAGCGGCAGACTACTCAATCGTATACCTCTTGTCGCATCCAACCATTTGTGCCCGGCTTCTGATCTCAACGGGAGACTGGCCTGGCTCGTGCTGGCACTGGCTTGACTCTGTGTTTCTCTGGCAGTCATAAAGGATTCGGCACGGGAAGATACAGAATGTGGCATGGCAGGTCGTGGCGGCGCAAGATCTTTGATGCTGGGATTTGGTGGAGTCAGATCGGGAGTTGGAGGTCTCTGTTGGTTGGGAGGTGTGTTGGTTCCTGCTTTTACCCCTGGCAAGGGTACCAGATGAGCATATGTTGCGCTCGCATTGCGCGACTGTGTAGGCGGTGTGGGAGGGAGTGTTGAGTTGCGGCGCATAAGGGAGATAGAAGGCGCAACTCTAGGCCGGTATCCTTCGTGCATATCGGCATCCGACAAGTCTGAGTCATCGTCGCTGTCAGAGAAGTCGGCATGCCTAGGTGATTCGGCCTTTTCGGTCGTTTGTCGCGAAGGAAGTGCCTTGTAGGCTTGCAGGAAGTTGGCATCTCTGAAGGATTGCTCTAATAGAGAGAATGCCTTGTCAAACTGTGAGGTAGGCATATCGAGTGGTGATTCGTAATCGAATGGTCGTAGAAACATGAAGTCGTCGCTTTTTACGGATGGTGGTGGGCATTGGCACGCTCAGCGCATATCGTAGACGGAGAGAGAAGGTCGAGGTTTAATCAGTTAGATTGAAAGGACGTGACAAGCAGAAGTTGGATAGACGTCTGCGCTGATGCAAACGCAAATGTCCAGCGACAGCGAATATAGTCGTCGGTTACACGCGCGGCCCACGGTCACCTAACACAGAGGTTGGCCAAGTTGGATAGGATTGGTTGGTGGACAGCGAATGCGAAGCGCATGCACAGCAAATCGGCTAAGCCATGTACCAGTCCGAGAACTTGCACACTGAACGTCACTATCGTCACGGATGAATAGGAACGACGTGCCAGCCCCAAGCCAGAAAAGAGAGACAGGAGAAAGGGGCCAACAAGCAAGACAGAGAGACGCGTGAAGATTGTAAAAAGTTGGAAACCGAACCAGGGTGCAGCGCTGCGACACGCTTGCGCCGGCTTTTGGGCAGAAACGTCACTCCTCCGCTTCTTCCTTTTGGCGAACCCGAAGAGACTCAATCACCCCTTTCACATGACATAGACAACTTTATCATTAATTTTGAACAAGCTGCACTGTAAACCAACTCAAGGAGTATAATCTCATTTCGATTTCTGCATCAGAGAGTGATATCCCATGTTTCTCAATGTGACCGCCAAGCCGAGCTGACTTCCGTGGTGGACTTCGAGTCACACGATATCTTGCAAGCAATTGACCTATCAGAGCTGCCGTCGAGTCTCCGTATATGCATGTTCGTAAATTCCATCACCATCTCGTATATCTGTCCTTCGTCTCGGTATCCTTGTTGCTTTGTTGGACTAGTAACTCGCTTGCATCATGTTTGGAATGTTGGTGGTTGGTAGCACCCTGGTCTAAGCTTGGATCTTGTTTCAATGAGCCACTTGCTTGCGCCTCGAATCGCATGCGCTTTCATGTTTCTGATACTGACTACGGCTCATGGCTGTGCAAAGCTAGGTGTAAAGATATATACTGAGACCGTAATACTATCATCCACTGACTGAATCTTTCATCACATCTATCGGGCTCTTGAATCAAAGTTCGTAAAAGGGCATGCTTAGACCAATTGGTGCTTGAGGTCTAGAGCTATCTTCAATGTTATGTTTACCTGGTGTTGCTGTAACACGCATTGCATTGTTGGAAACTTTCGACGTTTTGTTTAATCACATCAAGTGACCGTGGTAGAGCTGGCCAATCGATTTGAACGAGTTTTGATTCATCGCATGCTAACATGACCTTTTTCTGCCCTCACGACCGTCCCTTAGACCCGACGACAGATGATGCCGATGGGTTCTCAGCCAGAGCAAGAAAGCGTAGACTTAGACGCCGAGCCCTTTTAAAATCTCCACATGCATTTTTGCCTTTTCTCAAGTCACAAACTCGTCTTTGATATCCGTCGAGACTTTGCGCCAGCATTCAACCGAAGAAAAGATTTTTCATTTCAAAAAGAACAGGGGGGGAATCGTTTAGCGGCGGGCCGAGTTCTCCTTGAGGACCTTCTTGACGATCTTCTGCTCCTCGATCAGGAAGGCGCGGACGACGCGGTCCTTGACGCAGTTGGCGCAGCGGGAACCACCGTAGGCACGCTGGACGGTCTTCTTGGGGCGCGAGATGGTAGCGTACTCGCGGGGACGGAGGGCGGGAACCTGAAGAGGAACCGGATTAGTTTGGTGCTCGGGTTGAGATTTGTCCAAGAGATTCGTCGAGATGGGATGCGAAGGATTGTTGTTGGCAATATGTGTTCATGTCGTTGTGTCGGAGAGTGATCCAGGCAAGTATGTATGTCGAAAGGTGTGTTCGAGAATCTCTTGGACGATTGGATATCGACTTACGCCTGCAAGCTTGACACCACAGTCACCGCACTTGGGAGCGGTACCCTTCTTCTTGATGTGAAGGTAACGGAGCTCGCCACCGGGAGTCTTGATGACTCTGACCTTGTTGGACTTGGTGTTGTAGCTGGAAGCAGCTCATGTCAGCGCGTCTATTTCCTAGCAGATTGATTGTACGGCTGTGCGGTTTCGGAAAGTGATGAAGCGATCGGAGGTGGGAGTTTTGCGCAGTGGTTCGGTATGGAAGCGTGTCGTGTGGAATTGTGCAAAATTGCGGTGTCGACTTACGGTTGCCTGCGGCGCTGCGAAGAGGGTCAGCATGTCAAAATTGCAAAGAGCAGCATATCTCCAGAACGTACGTAGGTGAGTCTGTTGGAGGGCATCTTGACGGTGTTGGGTGTGTCGCTGGGTGATGAATTGTCGTCGCTCGCGAGATCGTTCAATCAAGGCGCAAAAATCCAGACTGGAGTGTGTGCTCGGCTTCGCGCTTTCCAATTCCCCACGGTTTTGCCGCACAATTGGCAGGTGCGCCAAGGCTTTGATCGTGCTTTCCTTGGATGAATGTCCAGCTTCGTCGCGCCAAGTCAAAGGTCGCCACGACTTTTACAGACTCAAGCAGTTCGAAGCCACGGGCATCACTGCGCCATCGACTGACACGAGAGGAGCTTCTATATCGACGTGTCTCGTCTTCGTATTACTCTGGATCCATCCATCTGAGGACGCGATCCTACAGACACCGCGGTCGGGGAAGCAGCACCAGCTGCCGTGATTAGATCACCACCCCCATCGCTGCGACCATCCACCTCTTCGCCAACAGACACCTCATCTCATCATCGCCATGTCTGCACCACCGCCACCTCCTCCAGGCTGGGACGCCCCTCCCCGCCACCACCTGGAGCTGCTCCTCCCAGCGCCCTCGCCCCTCCTCCGCCTGGCTACAAACCTCAAGTGGATCCTCAGATCGCCAAGTTTGCCGACAAGAAGCAAAAATGGTTGCGCATGCAGAGACAGCGCTTTGGAGAAAAGAGACGTGGAGGCTTTGTCGAGACACAGAAGGCTGATATGCCGCCGGAGCATTTGCGAAAGATTGTAAAGGACATTGGAGATGTTTCGCAGAAGAAGTTCAGTTCAGACAAGAGAAGTTATTTGGGTGCTCTCAAGTTCATGCCGCATGCTGTCTTAAAGCTCTTGGAGAACATGCCCATGCCCTGGGAGAGCGTGCGCGAAGTCAAGGTTCTGTACCACGTCAACGGATGCTTGACATTGGTCAACGAGATCCCTCGCGTTATCGAGCCAGTCTTCCACGCGCAATGGGCTTCCATGTGGGTCGCCATGAGACGAGAGAAGAGTGACAGAAGACACTTCAAGCGTATGCGCTTCCCTCCCTTGACGACGAAGAACCGCCACTCTCATGGTCTGAGAACATCGAAGATGTCGAGCCGCTCGAGCCCATTCAGCTGGAACTGGACGAGGACGATGATGCCGCCATCTACGAGTGGTTCTACGACCCCGCCCTCTCTTGGACACTTCACATGTCAACGGACCCGGATACAAGAAGTGGAATCTGTCACTACCGCAAATGGCTGCTCTTCACCGTATGAGCACTCCTCTGCTTAGTGATCTGGTCGATAAGAACTACTTCCATCTGTTCGACCTACCTAGTTTCCAGACCGCCAAGGCTCTCAACGTCGCCATTCCTGGTGGTCTCGTTTCGAGCCCTTGTACAAGGACATCGACCCGAACGACGAAGACTTTGGCGAGTTCAATGCCATCGACCGCATCATTTTCCGTGCCCCCATCAAGACTGAATACCGTGTCGATTTCCCCTTCCTTTACAACTCTCTCCCTCGCAGCGTCAAGCTCAGCACATACTCACACCCCAGACTGTCTACCAAAGGACGACGGATCCCAGTCTTCCCGCATTCTACTTTGATCCTGTCATCAATCCCATCTCTTCGAGAGCCGTCGCTCCCAAGAACTTGACCGTTAGCCATGAAGACGAGATCTTCGGCCCTGGCAACAACGAGGATGATGAGTTTGAGATGCCTGGCGAGATCGAACCTTTCATGTCCGACGAAGATCTCTACAACGACGAGACTGCTGCAGCTATCCAGCTGTGGTGGGCACCTTACCCTTCGACCGCCGCTCAGGCAAGATGGTTCGTGCTGAAGACGTCCCTCTCGTCAAGCAGTGGTACCTTGAGCACGTTCCTGGCGGTCAGCCTGTCAAGGTCCGAGTCTCTTACCAGAAGTTGCTCAAGAGTTACGTTCTCAACGAGTTGCACAAGAAGCCACCAAAGGCTCAGAACAGGCAAAACTTGATGAGCACTCTCAAACAGACAAAGTTCTTCCAGCAGACCACCATTGATTGGGTTGAGGCAGGTCTTCAAGTCTGCAGACAGGGCTTCAACATGCTCAACCTGTTGATTCACCGCAAGAACTTGACCTACCTGCATCTTGATTACAACTTCAACTTGAAGCCCATCAAGACCTTGACTACCAAGGAGCGCAAGAAGTCACGCTTCGGTAACGCTTTCCACTTGATGCGTGAAATCCTCCGTTTGACCAAACTTATTGTCGATGCACAGGTACAGTACAGACTTGGTAACATTGATGCTTTCCAGCTTGCCGATGGTATCTTGTATGCCTTCAACCACGTTGGTCAGCTTACTGGTATGTACCGTTACAAGTACAAGCTCATGCACCAGATCCGTACCTGCAAGGATTTGAAGCATTTGATCTACTACAGATTCAACTCCGGCCCCGTCGGTAAGGGTCCTGGTTGCGGTTTCTGGGCTCCTGCATGGAGAGTCTGGCTCTTCTTCATGAGAGGTATCATCCCTCTCCTTGAGCGCTGGTTGGGTAACCTTCTCTCGAGACAGTTCGAGGGTCGTCACAGCAAGGGTGTTGCCAAGACAGTCACCAAGCAGAGAGTCGAGTCTCACTTCGATCTCGAGCTGCGTGCCTCGGTCATGGCTGACCTGATGGATATGATGCCTGAGGGCATCAAGCAGAACAAGGTCAACCTTGTCCTTTCACATCTGTCAGAGGCTTGGAGATGCTGGAAGTCTAATATTCCCTGGAAGGTTCCTGGTCTTCCTGCACCTATCGAAAACATCATTCTCCGTTACGTCAAGAGTAAGGCCGACTGGTGGATCTCCGTCGCCCACTACAACCGTGAGCGTATTCGAAGAGGTGCTACCGTCGACAAGACTGTAGCCAAAAAGAACCTTGGTCGCCTGACTCGTTTGTGGTTGAAGGCTGAGCAGGAACGCCAGCACAACTACATGAAGGATGGTCCTTACGTCTCGTCCGAAGAAGCTGTCGCCATCTACACTACAACCGTTCACTGGCTCGAATCGAGAAAGTTCCAACCTATCCCCTTCCCCAGTGTTTCATACAAGCACGACACCAAGATCCTCATTCTTGCTCTTGAGCGTCTGCGTGAAGCATACTCAGTCAAGGGCCGTCTCAACCAAAGTCAGCGTGAGGAGTTGGCCCTTATCGAACAGGCCTACGACTCGCCTGGAACCACTCTTGCACGTATCAAGCGTTTCCTGCTTACTCAGCGTGCCTTCAAGGAGGTCGGCATTGATATGAACGACAACTATTCGACCATCAACCCAGTCTATGACATTGAACCCATTGAGAAGATCACAGATGCTTATCTCGACCAGTACCTCTGGTATCAGGCAGACCAGAGACATCTCTTCCCTGCTTGGATCAAGCCTTCAGACTCTGAGGTGCCCCCTTCTTACCTACAAGTGGGCTCAAGGCATCAACAACCTGGACAAGGTCTGGGAGACTGCTGATGGAGAGTGCAACGTCATGATTGAGACTCAGCTGTCCAAGGTCTATGAGAAGATTGATCTGACCTTGCTCAACCGTCTTCTTCGTTTGATCATGGACCACAACTTGGCAGATTACATCTCGTCCAAGAACAACGTCCAGCTGAACTACAAGGACATGAATCACACCAACAGCTATGGTATGATTCGTGGTCTCCAATTCTCGGCTTTCGTCTTCCAATACTATGGTCTCGTAATCGATCTGTTGTTGCTCGGTCTGCAACGCGCCAGCGAGATCGCGGGTCCACCGAATGCGCCAAACGACTTCCTTCAATTCAGAGACCGTGCTGCTGAAACTAGACATCCTATTCGTCTCTACACAAGATACGTCGACAGAATTTGGGTCTTCTTCCGTTTCAGCGCAGATGAGTCTCGCGATCTGATCCAGCGCTTCTTGACTGAACAACCCGACCCGAACTTCGAGAACGTCATTGGTTACAAGAACAAGAAGTGCTGGCCTCGTGATTCTCGTATGAGATTGATGCGTCACGATGTCAATCTGGGCAGAGCCGTCTTCTGGGACATGAAGAACCGTCTGCCTAGATCAGTTACCACTATCGAGTGGGACGACACCTTTGCCTCTGTCTACAGCAGAGACAACCCTAACCTTCTCTTCTCCATGTGCGGTTTCGAAGTTCGTATCTTGCCGAAGATGCGCAACCAGAACGAGGAGTTCCCCACCAAGGACAGTGTTTGGTCTCTTGTTGACAACTCCACCAAAGAGAGAACAGCCCACGCTTTCTTGCAGGTCACCGAAGAGGACATTGCCAAGTTCAACAACCGCATTCGACAAATCTTGATGTCTTCTGGGTCTACTACATTCACGAAGATTGCAAACAAGTGGAACACTGCGTTGATTGCGCTTTTCACATACTACCGTGAAGCTGCTGTCAGCACTGTCAACTTGCTGGATACTATCGTCAAGTGCGAAACCAAGATCCAGACTCGTGTCAAAATTGGACTAAATTCGAAGATGCCAAGTCGTTTCCCTCCTGCCGTGTTCTATACACCCAAAGAACTCGGTGGTTTGGGTATGATTTCGGGTAGTCACATTTTGATTCCCGCCAGCGACAAGCGTTGGTCAAAGCAGACCGACACTGGTGTTACCCACTACCGTGCCGGTATGTCTCATGACGAAGAGACTCTGATCCCCAACATCTTCAGATACATCATTCCTTGGGAGGCCGAGTTCGTCGACTCGCAGCGTGTCTGGACCGAGTATTCACAAAAGCGTCTCGAGGCCCAACAACAGAACCGCCGTCTGACTCTGGAGGATCTTGAGGACAGCTGGGACCGTGGTCTGCCTCGTATCAACACACTTTTCCAGAAGGACAGAAGTACACTCAGTTTCGACAAGGGTTTCAGAGCTCGTACTGAGTTCAAGATCTACCAGCAGATGAAGAGCAATCCCTTCTGGTGGACATCTCAGCGTCACGATGGTAAGCTGTGGAACCTTAACGCATACAGAACCGATGTTATCCAGGCTCTTGGTGGTGTTGAGACCATTCTCGAGCACACATTATTCAAGGCAACCGCTTTCCCCTCATGGGAGGGTCTCTTCTGGGAGAGAGCCTCGGGTTTCGAAGAATCGATGAAATTCAAGAAGTTGACCAACGCCCAAAGATCGGGTCTGAACCAAATTCCCAACCGTCGCTTCACCTTGTGGTGGTCACCAACAGTAAGTACTATCCCTATCTACCTTGAGCCCCCTTCTCTCCACAGCCTGATTCGCTTTTCAATGCCCTATCGAAACGCACAAGTTCTTCTCACTCAGGCGTGCATGCACTGAGAGCCTCAAAAAGAGCTCTCTCTGTGGATGCACTCTGTTGAGATAAAGGACTGTGCATTTTGATAACCACTTTTCGTGGGCCTAGTGCCCTGAGAGACAACTCACCCCCTAACATTGTCATGAACCTCACTGACTGATCGTGTCTACAGATTAACCGTGCCAACGTCTACGTCGGTTTCCAAGTCCAGCTTGATCTGACCGGTATTTTCTTGCACGGCAAGATTCCCACCCTCAAGATCTCCCTGATTCAGATCTTCCGTGCCCATTTGTGGCAGAAGATCCACGAATCCGTCGTCATGGATCTGTGTCAAGTCTTCGACCAGGAGCTCGAAGCTCTTGGTATTGAGACCGTCCAGAAGGAGACTATTCATCCCAGAAAGAGTTACAAGATGAACTCTTCTTGCGCCGATATCCTTCTGTTCGCCAGTCACAAGTGGAGTGTCAGCACCCCCAGCTTGTTGTACGACACCAAGGACAACATGGGTCAGACCACCACCAACAAGTTCTGGGTCGATGTTCAGCTTCGTTACGGTGATTACGACTCTCACGACATCGAGCGTTATGTTCGTGCCAAGTACCTCGACTACACCTCGGACAGCATGAGTATCTACCCATCTGCTACTGGCTTGATGATAGGTATCGATCTTGCTTACAACCTGTACTCTGCCTACGGACAGTACTTCCCTGGTCTTAAGCAGCTTGTTCAGCAGGCTATGGCCAAGGTCATGAAGGCTAACCCTGCCCTCTATGTTCTTCGTGAGCGTATTCGCAAGGGTCTGCAGCTCTACGCCTCGGAGAGCAACCAAGAGTTCCTCAACTCGCAGAACTACTCTGAGCTGTTCAGCAACCAGATTCAGCTCTTCATTGACGACACAAACGTTTACCGTGTCACTATCCACAAGACCTTTGAAGGTAACTTGACCACCAAGCCTATCAACGGTGCCATCTTCATTTTCAACCCCAGAACTGGTCAGCTGTTCTTGAAGATTATCCACACCAGTGTCTGGGCAGGCCAGAAGCGTCTTGGTCAATTGGCGAAATGGAAGACGGCAGAAGAAGTTGCGGCACTCATCCGCTCATTGCCTGTCGAAGAGCAGCCCAAGCAGTTGATCGTCACCAGAAAGGGTCTCCTCGATCCTCTCGAGGTACACTTGCTTGACTTCCCTAACATCTCTATCCGTGCTTCGGAGCTGCAACTGCCTTTCCAGGCCGCAATGAAGGTTGAGAAGCTCGGAGACATGATCTTGCGTGCTACTGAGCCTCAGATGGTGCTCTTTAACCTATACGATGAATGGCTCAAGTCCATCTCGTCTTACACTGCCTTCTCGCGTCTCATTCTGATTCTGCGTGCCCTGCACGTCAACCAGGACAAGACCAAGCTGTTGCTTCGTCCTGACAAGACTGTCATCACTCAAGAGCATCACATCTGGCCGACATTGTCTGACGATGACTGGATCAAGGTTGAAACGCAATTACGCGATCTGATCTTGAATGATTACGGAAAGAAGAACAACGTCAATGTCTCTTCTCTGACTCAGAGCGAAGTCAGAGATATCATCCTGGGTATGGAAATTAGCGCACCCAGTATGCAGAGACAACAGGCTGCCGAGATTGAGAAGCAGCAAGAGGAGCAGGCCCAGCTCACTGCTGTCACTACAAAGACTCAAAATGTGAATGGTGAGGACATTGTCGTCACTACCACGTCTCAGTTCGAGCAGCAAACCTTCGCCTCAAAGACCGAGTGGAGAACACGTGCGATTGCCACGTCCAACCTTCGCACTCGCGCCAACAACATCTACATCTCGTCTGAGGATATTCGTGATGATGAGGAGCACTTCACTTACATCATGCCAAAGAACATCCTCAAGCGTTTCATCACCATCGCCGATCTTCGCGTCCAGGTTGCTGGTTACCTGTATGGTACATCACCACCAGACAACAAACAAATCAAGGAAGTGAAAGCCATCGTCATGGTGCCTCAAGTTGGCAACACTCGCGACATTCAGCTTCCTCGCAACTTGCCCGAGAACGACATCCTCAACTCACTTGAGCCTCTCGGATGGATTCACACAAGTGCTGGCAATGAGACAAGCTACATGGCGGCACAAGATGTCACACAGCACGCCCGCCTGATGAACCAGCACGAATCTTGGGACAAGAAGACCGTCACCATGACAGTTTCCTTCACCCCTGGTTCCGTCTCGCTGTCCGCGTGGTCTCTCACTCCCTCTGGCTACACCTGGGGAGCCGAGAACAAAGACATGTCATCCGACCAGCCATCTGGCTTCAACCCAGGCGCCGGCTTTGGTGAGAAGTCCCAACTCCTTCTCTCTGACCGCATCCGAGGAATGTTCTTCGTTCCCGACGACGAGAGATGGAATTGGTCATTCATGGGCTCAGGCTTTGGTGACAAAGAGAAGGGTCGCATCTATGTGGATGTTGGTGTGCCCAAGAGATTCTACGACGACGTGCATAGACCTGTTCACTTCCAAAACTTTGCCGAGTTGGAAGATGTTTGGGTTGACAGGTCTGATAACTTGGCTTAGAAGGATCGATGAAGCTGGAATTGGCAGGGGTGTTTTATGGACGAAACAAGCATGGCGTTGTTGTACTTTAATTGTAAATGAGTTTATATCATCAGTCACGAAAGACGAATAGCAAAATTGTATTTCTAGCATGCACAAGAGACTTTCCATTAAGCAGCTACTCAGGTTCTGTCATTTCTTCCTGTAGTATAAATTGGTTGCTCGATCGTTCCTTCCTCGCCTGCTTGATCGCGCCTCCCCTCTGATCCCGACAGCTCCTGCTTTGTGTGCTCGATCGCTCTCTTCATCGCTCCTTCCTCTTATGTATTTCCCATCGTTCTTTCCCCCTGAGCGCGATCGCTCCTTCCACCCTCGTCAAGATCGACCGCTCTTTCCTCTTGTACTCGGTAATTATCTCCTCTTACATACCATGGCTCCTTCCTGTCATGTTTAGTCGCTATTCATTCTCTAGCATGCAAAGAACAATATCCTCTAAGCAGCTACATAGGTTCTATCGCTCCTTCCTCTAGGGTGAATCGTTTGCTTGATCGTTCATTCCTTTTGTGGTGTGGGTCGCTCCTTCCTTGTGTGTTAGGTCGCTCGTTCCTTACATCTTTTTCTTATGCTCGGTCGCTCCTTCCTCTTATGCTCGATGGATCTTTCCTGTGCAATTAAACATCCCTTCCTCCCGATCTCGATCATTCTTTTCTCTCGTGCTTGATCGCTGCCTTCCCGTCTCCCCAAGTATCCATTCAAGAGCAGTATCTGGTATAGAAGCCCGTATCTGATATCCAAAGTATGCGACAAGGGTAGAATAAGGGTCACTCGTGTCCTCTAGAGAGTGACGACAACAATGAACGATTCTTATATGATGGTGCCCTCCCTACTTATGCGCTGTTCTCCTTCAACTCGCATCAAGTAGTCGATTGAGAGGCTGAAAGATGGAACGATATAGTGGAATTTCGTATTTGACATTATGCACTTCTTTCCTTCTCACATCTACCCTCTGACTCTCTTCCCACTCCTCACTCGCATTAATGAAACTCTGCCTGCACAACACCATACCCCACCCCGCCGACCCTCAACTCAAACACCAAATCCGCTGACTGTATCCTCATGACCAACTCAAAGTCCAAGTTCAAAAACTCTGCCCCTTTGCTGGTTTTGAGTCTGGTGAATAGTTCTTGAGGAACGGCTCCGAGGTCGGTGCGTAATGTGCATACGGTAGATAGAGTTTTTGTGCGCGAGGGNNGTGCCGAGTCGGCGCCACAGGCTATTAGTTCGTCGGTTACGATGAGAGATTGCGAAGGTAGGAAGTTGCGGGTGTAGTGGAAGGAGATGGGNNTGTTTCGGGGGGATATGGCGGTGTTNNCTGTTGGAGTGGTTAGCTTTTGTGTATTTTCCTTGTTTTCCTTGTTTTCCTTAGAGTGAGTGGTGTGTTTGCTGACCTTGGAAATGTGCCATTGCATGCGGTCGGATACCATCCAGCGCTCCCACAATGGTGACCAGTAGCGATCTGCTATCTCGTGTTGTGTCTCATCAAACACTGTAGCGTACGAGGTGCCGTAGTGCAGTCTGCTGCGACGAGAAGACACCATGCTGTCATCGAGTCCTCTGATTACCGCACCCCTGACCACTGCAGTCCAGGCATATAGCGGTTGAATGACTTCGACGAGAGAATAGTCCTGCGGTTGCTGTACTTCGTCTTTTTCCGAATATGCAGGTGGTGAAGCAGTGTTGAAATGCACCTTTAACCGGTTGTAGAGGTGATTGCTTTGTCCAAAGCCGCCGACCAATATAATTCCAGACACGACATCGCCTTTTCCACGGATAGTTTTTACCTGCCCATCCAACAATTTCAAAACTTCATCAATAACCGGATCAAATATCTCCTTGACTTGTAGCGAACTCATGACCATGAATCCTGAATCTATGCCTGCGTCTTCATTGTCGGGGAGGCCGGGGAAAGGTACATTGACCTCTGTGGTCTCGTCTTCGTTGTAGTTGCGCTTGACAAATTCTTCAAAGTACTTGAGGCCCATCATCCAGGTTTTTGGCTTCTTGTTGCGCATGTGGCTGTAAGTTTCTTCGCCTAGTCGTTGCTTGACGTGTTCTTCGAAGCGATAGTTGAGGAATGCCGAGCCGCAGAGGCCGCCTGTGCCTACGGCGCTCTCTTCGACTCTGAGGGGAGAGAGCTGAGTGATTTTGCTNNAGAAGTGCAAAGATTAGCGTTGTTTTCCACGTTCTTTGTAGGTGTTCACGAACTAGGCGATGAGATCTACAGTGCCACCTCCTGCATCGCAGATGACAAAGTTGTCCCCGACCTTGAGGTTATGCGGTTGCACCGTCTTGAGGGCATGCAGCATGGCAGCTTCAGGCTCACTGATCAACCTCAATTCGTGTTTCTTGCCCATGCCTGCCTTTTCCGCTGCCTGCAGCGTTGCATTCTNTGCAGAATCGCTCCACACAGCGGGCACGGTAAGCACAAACTCCACATTTGTAATTGCCATGAAGCTCTCTCCATATCTTCTGTTCAGCGTCTCCATGGTATGCGTATATATCTGGCCCAGGTAATCGCTCACGGCATCCATAACCGTGCGATCACATTGCCTCAAATGCGCAGCCGTATCCAATGGACTCACAAAATGCGGCAACTTTTGGTTTCTGTCCAGGAACAGCTTTATGCAGCGTAACCGCGGTTCTTCAGGTTTGAACTGGAAGCCCCATTTTATGCGCTGAACGGTGGATTTGGCGCCGCCGCCTTGTTCGGGGGTGATTGTGGTGTTTGGGACGGAAGGGAGGGAGGCGGTCTCGTAGGCGATTTCGGTGGGGACTTTGTCAGAGGTTATGCCGTTGCCTCCTGGCCANNTCTTCGTTGATGTCAGTTCTTGCTCTTTCTTGTCTTCTGTGTGGATGGTGCTCTCTCACGTCTTGATGATCTCGATGTCGTCCGGGTTCGCACTGTAGGCTGCTGCCANCACTGTGGAGTTGTTAGCTGTGAAGCCTGCCGTAGAGAGATGCACCACCTACCCAGAGTATGTAGTGCCAAAGTCGACTCCGACAATGATTCTGTCAGAAGCGACTTGGATATGTCCATTGGTATCGCCATTGACGGCCGGCGTCGGGGCGGCGAAGCTAACGTTGGGTCCAGCCATTGTACAGAGATGCTTCCACGGTTGTCGAGGAGAAGAAGGAGCAAGCGTCGCCGACGCAGCGTCAGTCACAGACTAGGTATATCCAAGAGACACCGGGAGAAGAGAACAGAAAGACAGAAGCTCAATTAGTCAAGCCGGCAAGCAGCTGAGATCAGCAATAGAGACGGCAGACAAGATCTGGAAAGAGAGTTGGTATTATGACAAGCACTGACGGACAAGGAAAGAAGCTCGCATCAACCTTAACTCTCAAAGTGGAAGACCACGAGGGAAAGACCAAAGGGCGAGAACAGCAATGCAGCCAGCCCAATGTCAGCAGCAGTCAAACAGCGGTACCATATGACAGCGGCGGAGCTCTGCCTTCGACTCGGCAGCTGAAGAGACACGCTCGCAGAGTCTGGAAACACGCACTGTTCAGCCGCAGACGCCGTCCTCTCTAGCAGCGGCAGTCAGAAAAGCATGCATTTCTCCCCCCTTGTCCGAGTCCGAAACCAAATGCTCTTGTTACAAAAGTGGTGTAACGCGAACGAGAGAGCTGGCTCAGACATGTTCCCGACCGGGCATTGCCCCATGCCCGCCAGTCACCCTGACTTGTCTCGGACATTTTTGGCGCTGATCTTGTCCTCTTTCGGTTGTCTGGAGAGCCGCAGCTTCGGGTTCGTGCCTGTCGACAGCATCATCATCACTTGGCTGTAGCCTCTTCTGATAGATCACCAAGTAGAACAACCCTTTGACGGGTTCGTCTGTACCAAGAGTTCCTCTAGCAATCAAGTGCCCAGGCCTTTCCAGTCAGCACAGAGCCAGCCGCACGTGAGGAGAGACTTCAGCAGACCATAAAGCTTCGAGTTTCAGCTCTGCGAGCTCGACTCCTTGCGCCTGAAACTTGCCTCACCATCTTCTCCTTCCCTCGGCCCAGTATTTGTAAAATAGTCATCTTTGCATCAGCATTTCGTTGTCAGGAGTGCAGACCCAGCGGTAGCAGCGGAGCGAGGTAGCAATGTAAGGCTAACAACTACTCGGAAAACAGGCTCTAATTGTAAGCTTTCCCCTCCTTGTGTAATATCCACACCATTTTATTGCCTTTTGAGCCCTTTCTACCTCCCGAATGTATATGAATGTACCTTCCTCCTCGCTGTCTCTAGACTTTGCGGGTTGTCGACCTTTGATCCAACAGAGATACTCGTCTCCAAATATCGACAAGATGGCACGACCAGAGACGACNAAAAAGCGAGTTTCGAATCTCGTTGGCAGATTTGAGCAATTGGCTCAGGCATGTCCTACACAGGAATATACTTATCCAGGACCTAAATCACCAACTTTGACACGGCCAGCTTCTCATCATGGCGACAAGGCATGGCTGCAGAGTGACCGAAGATGTCAATCTATGTCCTCCATGCCAAACTCTTCGACTCTCTCGACCAGACTACAACGCGAACTCGATCGCAATGCGGAACTACGACAGGAAGTAGAAAAATTGCGCAGTCGCTGCAACGAGGACGAAGAAATACTCACAACGCTATCCAGACGCCTGGAAGAAGGCACCGAGATGCAAGCATCCCTGCATATCCAAACATCCGGCCTGCAATCAAAAGTCGACAGGTTAGCAGACAAGCTTCGACGAAGAGATGAGATCCAAAAGGCAGAGTACGAGCGAAGAATCGTGGCTGTCACCAACGAACGCGGCATCTTAGCCTCAAGATTACAGATGTCTGAAGCAAGCGTCGAAAGAGCTCGAGCTTTGGAAGACACTGCAAGAAGCGCGGACGAGAAAATCAGAACCGCGGATGAGAGAGCTCAAACAGCGAATAACCAGACAACGGCATTACGGAAACAGTTGCTGGAGCTCAAGACAGATGTTGCTGCTCGATCGGGGAAGCAAGAGGATATTAGTGATCAAGAAATCCTTGACATGATGAACAAACTCAATCACCTTGTTCAAAACTGGTGTGTCAGCAGTTTCCGAAAGGTCAAGATTGGTATGTGTTCTGGAGAACCTCCTCCAGTTGAAGCTGACATGGTCCANGACCCAGGGAGAATGACTCACAGATTCGAAAAGATAGCAGCTCTGCAGAAAGCAAAGTCGCTACGGAAGCTTTATGCTACCTTTGACACGAGCATGGAAATATTCACTTTCCAAGCCACGGTGTTACATCTGCTTATGCCAATCTTCGATGCACATTTCTTTGGACTACCAGAAGAGTTGAAGGGCCTGGACTCGGCCGCTTGGGAAATGGAATGTATGTTCTTGTGATTGATGCATTGCATACTCTCATTTACTGATTGTCCTCCAGCTTTGACAGCAGCCTTCAACACATGGCGAGCGATGACATATGCCTTTTTACAGCAGGATAACGAGTTGAAGGAGCGCTATCGAGTTTCACAAGCCAAAGCGCAGGTACAGATAGTGGAGCAAATCTGCAAAACGATGTCAGCATTGACAGGTTCGGTCATCTCAGAAGAGCAGAAACGCACTCTGAGCGCGTTAGTCGAGCATGCTGTCTCACTAGCCCGAATACTGGGGAGCCAGCGTGCTATGTATCGGTGTTTTCTGCCGCAACCTATTGACCAAGACACCCTTGAGTTCGAGGGCACCGCGATGGAAAACTTGATGGACGAACAGGACAGCGATGGTATTGCAAAGGATGTCAGATGTGTGGTATCCCCAGCACTGATTAAGCAGGGAGGAGAAAGAGGTGAACATGTGAGATATCCCTGTTGTTTTGCTGGGACAAGGTTGACTGACGCTGAGCAGATGGAAGTGGAAAATGTCCTCGTGAAAGCCAAAGTGCTTTGTGTTGAAGAAGACTCTGATGGCGATGAAGTGATGGATTGAAGACCAAGTTGATATTACAAGGTGTTCTCTCTCTTGCGTAAGGCGAACAATCTAGGGTTGTAGGCAACAGGCATGGACTGCGAAGGTACATGGCGTTTGGGTACTTTGTTTGCATGTGCCATGGCAGCAGCGTCCAAGGCTTTCTCGACTTCGTGCACAAGCGTGTCAGCGCTGGTAGCGTCGGCTATGATGGCACGTAGGCGAATGAAGATGGCATCAAGGAAGGTGTCCAGGAGAAGATACATGTTATGCTCTGGTTCTTGACGATGAAGTTGAATCAAAGGCATGTAGACGAACTCATCGTAGAATGTAGCCATGCGACGAAAAATCTTGGCTTCATCATGGGTAGGCTTGTGTAGGCCGCTAAGGGTATGTCAGCGTGCTGTATTTGTGACAGGTAGATGCACTGCGTACTCAACGATGTCGACCCATCTGGTAACTTCCTCTAGAGCAACCTCGTCTGGCATGTGATGATCAGATAGCTGATCTTTCGCCGAGTTCGCAGCATCAAGTCTCTGCTCGAGCTTCTCCAGAATCAGATCCAGAAAGTCGCAAATGTCCTGCGCAATTGTTTCGACATCGCACGCAACATCTCCACGCAGGATGTGTGAAGACGGAAACAACTGATGAGATACGTGGACAATCATTCTGACCATGGCCAACAGCATGTCTTTCATAGACTGCTCAGGTTTGGATGTGCGAATCAGCTGCATCAACCCATGGGGCAGCAGATTGACTTTGGAAGAGAAAACAGACGAAGATGGTGTGTGGACAAGCGCATTGCGGCGAGGCGCGCGGATAGTCGAGTCATGTTGTACTGAGCCGTCCAAGTAGTAAGAGGGGATCCATTGGATGGTTGTGTCTAGTGCGTCTGCATGAATGAAAGGCTCGCTGTTGATGGTTGAGAGAGATCCTGTGGTACTACCATGACTGCGCGCTGAAGGAGTCTTGATCGAAGAAGGACCCGAGCTGTGCTGAGATGATGAGTTGGTTGCAGTGCGTGAGTGCAACGATGATGTTGAGCGCGGCATCTCACTTGTCTTTGTATAGGAGTTTGCTGCTGTAGGAGAGGAAAGCGATGGATTATTGTGGACAAAGGACTAAATTCGAAGGTTGCGCTTCCTGTTGCGGAAAACGACAAAGAGGCAGGAGCGACCACCTCCAACAAGTCACAAAAGCAACCAACAATGATATTTCTGCAGAAGTGTATGATTGGAATAGAGTGTAGATTTTACAAACCGGAAAAGAGATGTATCAATCTCGTCGAAGCCATCCCGCTATGTTGTTTCGTTGCCGACGGCGAATTGGCTACCTTTTAAACAAGTTGACAGTGCCCACAAGTCACCACCCAAGTGAACAAGACGTTCGGTTTGGGTAGTAGATTAACCTGAAAAGCGTTCAATCTCCGCAAGTAGACTCGATCACCACGCCACTGAATCGTTTCCACCAAGAGGTGAAATCGGAGGCATGACAACTTTAAAGAAGTGCGGGTTCTCAACAACAATAATCATCAAATCACTCGTCGTCCTCGTCGTCATTTGCGCCAGGGACGTCCATGACACGTTCTGATGCAGCGGCGAGGGCACGTCGACTCCAGGCTCGGACACCTTTCCAGACAGCCTGATAGCAAGATTAGTCCAGGTTCGTGAGGAAAAATTAGAGTAGACATACCCAGGTAAAGGTCAATATACCGACTGCTACAGCGATCCAGCTGATCTGAGCCATCCTATCTCGACCAGTGGTGCGACCCCCAACTGATGTGCGCATGTTGTACATTTGCCACGGACTCAAAGTAAGCAGAAATTTGGCGAACCCAACCAAGCCCAAAGATGCGAAGCCCTTGATGAAGTGCTCAGTCCAAGTGACAGGCTCATCTGCAGGTAACAATGGCTGTGAGCCATGAGCGATTGTGTCATAAGGGTCGAGATAGAGGTTGATGATGGGATCAGCCACGTAACCTAAAGCAAATGAGGAGACCATGAAAATGGCCAAAGTAAGCAAGATTTGGGCGGCNNTTCTCGATGTCAGTAGGTTGGGGCAGGACCAGAGATTTCGGATCAGCTTACCAGTACTACTGATCCAATGTGCCCAATTCATTCGTTCTAAGCGATACTTGTACCTACATGTTGGGCATTGCCAGTAGTTACGTTTTGCAGAAGGATTCTGAAGGCGCCAGGCTTGCAAACACTGCTCGTGGACGTATTTCTGGCTGCCCTTGCACAGACACGGGCGAAGCAGACGACCACCATCTTCGCTCTCATACGTGACGTTTGGAGCGGAGCGCATAAAGGCTGGCAATGAATATGACGGCGGGTGGTATGTGGGCAAGACAGACTCCAAGCAGATGCGACATGTGCGTGGGTTGTAATGACGTTCGCGGTGTTGCTGAGCGTTGGAACCTGCTGAGGATGAGGGAGGTGGTTGAGGCGGCGTGTGATGTTCCTCTTCGTTCTCATACTGCTGTTCCTCCTTGGGAAGGGGGTCGCTCTGGGATGGTTGTGGCTTCTTCTCCTCTTTGACGTGGTCATTCGCCCAGGCACCGGGCAGGTCCTCGGGCCAAGTCCAGGATGCCGGATCGATTGACGACGACGAAGCCATGGTAAGAATGGGATGTTCAGGTGCCAGTAGTGTTTGAGGTGCAGTGCAAGGTAGGAGCGACAGCGGTCATGGTCAAATGGAAGGATTGAAGAGGCCAGCTGGTGTTTCTGCCTTGTCGCGACTTGTCCGAGGGAAAAGCTTCTTGCATGTCCAAAGACGGAAGAAGAGGAAAGAACGATAAAGCCTTGGCAAGTCTGCCCGAGTGGCCCGAGCTTCCCTGCTCGGTAGCGCGTCACTTGCAAGTGATGGCGACAGCAGCAGCAGCTCCATACAATCCATCATCCATAGAACCGTCTGTTTCTGTTTTCCCTGTCGTTGTAGCTTCGTCTATACCTCTGCAATCTCTTCCGGCCACTCCTTCATCTTCGCTTCCCCTTACTCACACCATGGCGGATCGCTACTCGTTCTCGCTCACCACCTTCTCNCCCAGGTAACAAGACTCTATACCGTCTGCGCAACTTGTATGCTGACTCTGATCTAGCGGAAAGCTGGTACAGATTGGTACCCTGACTTGACCTTCAAAAATCAAGACCTTTGCTCATGTCCTCCCAGAATATGCCCTCAACGCCGTCAACCAAGGTGTCACCGCCCTAGGCATCAAAGGTCCGCATACATCTACCCTCATCAACCTGCTCACATAATAACACCTCTCACANGCCACCAACGGTATCGTCCTCGCAACCGAAAAGAAGTCATCCTCGCCTCTCATCGATGCCGCCTCTGGAAGCAAAATCTCCCTCATCACCCCAAACATTGGTACCGTCTACGCCGGCATGGGTCCCGACTACCGCATCCTCGTCGACAAGGCTCGCAAGGTCTCGCACACAAACTATAAGCGCGTCTACAACGAATANCCNCCCACTCGCATTCTGGTCCAGGATGTCGCCCGTGTCATGCAAGAGGCTACCCAGTCAGGTGGCGTGCGGCCGTATGGTGTCAGTTTGTTGGTTGCTGGATGGGATGACGGTATCGAGCCCGAGACCGAGGCTGCCGATGCTGGTGATGATGTGGAAAAGAAGGCTATCAAGGGCAAGACTGGCGGTATCCTCAAGGGTGGTCCTTCGCTGTACCAGGTCGATCCCAGCGGTTCCTACTTCCCCTGGAAGGCTACTGCCATCGGAAAGAGCGCCACTTCGGCAAAGACTTTCTTGGAAAAGCGCTACACAGACGGTCTCGAGCTTGAAGATGCCATCCACATTGCTCTCCTCACACTCAAGGAAACTATCGAGGGCGAGATGAACGGTGACACCATCGAGATTGGTATCGTTGGTGCACCTGCCGACCACCTTCTCGGTGTTGAGGGTGTCGAGGGTGCTCAAGGTCCTCGTTTCAGAAAGCTCAGTTCGCAAGAGATTGAGGATTACCTGACGAGTTTGTAGACGGAGCATTCACGGGCATGGCGTTAATGATCATCTTTTAAACATGACGAGGCACGGCTCTGTACACTAACATCTGGCTGCGGGTATGCCGGCCAAAATGACATTTACTTGTTGTCAATTCTTTGTTTCATGCAAGTTCATCGGGTGACTTTTCGCTATACCAATTACTGGCGTTATAAATCAGATACTAACAAAACAAATTTTGAACACAAATCCTGACGGCAATCAAAGGAGTGAGCGAGTGTCACATCTCTCAAGTATGGAGGCAATGATGGTTTCGTTGACATTGTATACCAAGTACTCAGCTAATCAAGCTACAATAGATCCAAATATTCGTTCATCCAAATCTTCATTACAGTCTCAACTCATCACATCCTTACTGCAAATCCAAGACAACTCTTCCTTGAATCTTACCCTGGTCCATCTCCTCAAAGATGCTGGTCAACTCGTCCATCTTTGCTGTTCGGAAGTGCGTCTTGATGATGCCTCTAGCAGCCAGATCCAAAGTCTCGATGGCTTCTTTTCGGTTTCCGACTGCAGAACCCACAATCTTTTGCTCCTTGGCCACCAACACTTGCGGGAAAGCAGTCGCAATAGGCTGCAAGTCACCCTCAGGCAACCCCACACAAACCAACGTGCCGCCAAACTTGAGCAACTGCATACCACTAGCATAAGCACCGTTTGCTGCTGTCAACACCAACACGGCTTGAGCACCTAGTCCACCGGTCAGGGCTTGCACGTCGGCGGCCACGTCTTTGGAGGTGGTGTGGTCGATAAAGTGCTCGGCGCCGCTGGAGAGGACGAGGTCTTNTTTGCTGCCGTGGTCGATGCCGATGATTCGCATGCCCATGCCGCGAGAGCCCATTTGGGTCGCGATGTGGCCGAGGCCGCCGCCAGCGCCGAGGAGGACGACAAAGTCGCCGGACTGAGCGGTGGATTTGCGGAAGGCGGAGTAGACTGTTACGCCTGCGCAAAGNNCCTTGCAGGTGTGTTAGTGAGTGTTCGCAAGCTAGAGGAAGAAGAGAGCAACTTACATGGGGGCGGCAGCAGCAGAGTCCAATTCATCAGGGATGGGTGTAACGTAGTCGGCAGGCCCCAAAACGTATTGCTGATACGTGCCAGGTGTGTAATACCCACTAACCTTTTGATTAAAACACACACCATCATGTCCACTCAAACACGCGGGACAACCGCCACAAACACCACTAATCCACTTGACACCCACCCTCTGCCCAACCTTGACAGCAGCATTTTCTGTGCCGGGACCCATGGCAACGATTTTGCCGACGCCTTCGTGGCCGCCGACTTGACCGGCTTGGGTGGGGTGGGGAAGGGCTTTCCAGCTGTTGGTCATGATGCCCATGTCTGAGTGGCAGACACCGCTGTGTGTGAGGTTTATGAGTACTTCGCCGGGGCCTGGGGTGGGTGTGTCGAGTTCGACGACTTTTGTGCTGATTTTGCCGGGTTCGTCGTAGATGACGGCCTTGTATTTCTTGGGGATCTCGGGGAAGACATAGTTGCTGGAGTTTCCGTGGTATTCTTTGGTATATTGGTGTATAGATGAGGGAGCAAGTGCTTGAGAAGGTGTGAATGTCTGCTTTGAGGATATTCAGAGGAGAAGCAGAAAGATGTTACCAGACAACTTTCGAGCGAACTACTGCAGGTAGATAAGCATGGCTGGATGGACCAACCACCCCTGTCTCTTTTTCGGAGACGACAGCTTTCTCCTCATTTTGGTTCCTTCGCCGAGGCAAGTTTCACAGGACAAGGAATGGAAGGGAACTGTTGTTCGCCGAGTGCTGTGTGTTGACCTTGGTGGTGGGGCACTTTGCGGGGTAGATGGTTATTAGCGAGGGGTATACGGAGATATGGGCAGGTCAGACGATATGATTATGCTTTTCGTTAATGTGAGACGCGGCAGAGGAAGGGAACAGATGCTTCCGCGAACTCGACGAGGCTTGGTTGCGAGAACTGCCGGGCTTAGAGGACGAAGCAAGGCTACTGCTTGATAAGGTGCTTGTGAAGATGTCCCAGACCACAAAAGATTACGCTGGGACAACCAACTTACATTGCTCAGTGTTCTAGAGATCAATTATAAATCTTTCGAGATAGGCAGTTAGCTATGCTGAACCAAATGGCTCCGTGTTATACCAGATCTGACAGGCTTGCGGCTAAGCAGGCTCGGGTCGTCGGAGTATACAGTAGTCGTATCAGCACTTGTAATATACGTCTGCTGGTACGAAACACTATCGCACGACCTCAAGACAGTATTCGGAGTAGTGCATATCTCCAACAAGGATGTCCGTTGTCACGCGAGCCTTTCCAGAATATGTGATGCAGCTCCAAGCCAGTCAACCCCACTGGACGGACGCGTCTGGTTTGCACTGTTTGCAGGCTTTTCTCGTACCGTATAAAACTTGCCACCCGGGGCGCGTCAATCGCTCTTTCTTCTTCTATAGAAAGTTTTTAAAAGCGAGATTATTTGATCTAATCGCCCTATACACCGTGGGCTATCGGATTGAACGTCTTGCGAGAGCAAACACTCTTATTAAGAAGCGGCGCTCCCTATTTACCTTGGGCCTCGACTCCCGTTATAGAGTCAAATCGTTCTTTTCTTCCTTAACTCTTGCTTTCACATCAGTCGCGATGAACTGATTGCGAGGCCGAGTCCACGTGACGATGGTTTGGACTTTGCCAGACGACGTCTAGAGACCCTGGACCCTTCTTCCACCACTCTCACTGTACATACCTACCTACCTACGTATCTATCGCAAGGCACAAACTCGTCCAACAAGTCATTGCCTCCATGGAGACAGTCGCGTCTTCGTCGTCTGCGGACCCGCCCACCAAGAAGCCCTTCCCCTTCTTCGAACTTCCCTCGGAGCTGCGCATCAAGATATACCAGTATGTGCTGTTCATAGAACATGGAAAAGGTGTCGTGGATCTGGACTATTATAACGACAGAAGAATCGCTCCACGTTTGACATGTTTCCGCGCTTGTCGGCGCATGCACGATGAAGCCTATCCTATCTTTTATGGCTCGCCACAGCAGCCCTTTAGACTGTTTCCGACTGGTGGACACATGTACAGAACCAAGAAACCACTGCTTGAACTTCTTACGCCGACGTATCGCGCTGCAATCAATACAATCGAGCTGCGTCTAGGGCCAGGATGGGAAAGGGTTAGTTCAGCGCGAGCCATATCACAGCAAAGAGGATGCTAACGGTCGTTCATCTCANNGGTCCCTAAATGTTGGCACACCGGCCCTTCGTTAGGCCTCACCGATTGTGTCTCCCTACGCAACCTCAAAGTCTTCGTACAGATAGATCCAACCGACCCGACCTTCAAGGGTCACCATGGAAAAGGCAATGACCAATATACATACATGAACCTCTCCGCCAGCTGGTTACAGGATATCCTCAACCAAGTTCCTAGCATTCGCAACGTCGAGATCGATGCGTGGGAAGGAGTGGACATCGTCTCGCCAATGCTCAATGCGCTGGCCTCCGTGGTCTTGACCGCCGACAAGAGATTGACCTGGGGTCCGGGGCGGTTGATGAAGCTCGAGAAGGAGAAAGAGCACAAGTTGCGCTGGGGCGTGTCATGCGGCATGGAATCTATGGATGAATTGGAGGACCTCATGACGGCTATGGTCATAGGAGGTCAATGAAACAGCGGTTACTGATTGAAAGCATACGATCAAGGGAGCGACAGGCGTACGGCGTTGAGCATCTGCATACTGGATTGTCTTCTATACCTAATCTTCTACAACAGCAACAGCATCGAGCACCGGGTCTTTCTACTCGATCAATCGGTTCCTTTCTCCAGACTTCCTCCGGCACCGGCAACGTCCCCATCCGTGAAAGCTCTCTATATTGTGCTGACGAGTCAAGGTCCGCCATGTTTCTTTGTTGCTGGAGCAAACATGGCTTACAAAGCGGTTGGGCCTTTTCGCGAATCGTGAGATAACGGCAGGCGGTGAACGTCATGTAGAGATCCGTGCGTTGGTCCGCCACCTTGCTCTCAGGACGCCTCCATTCCTCAGGTTGCTGCAAGTTAGTCATGCAATTGCGTGGTTAGAGAGGCCTCGCACTTGTTCGACGTCCAGTGAGAATGTGCGCAGTTTCAACAAAGACGGCAATAGCGTACTTGGTAGGCGGCTAAGGCCACCACGCATAAAGAACGATGTGATGTAAGACCGGAGTTAAGCTATGAAACAGCAAACAACCGCCGGCCGAAATTCGAAGATGGCATTTGGAAGGACATGGAGCCAGACAAAATTTCTAATCGCTAATCGCTCTTGCCTGTTAATATATAGCAAACCTCTTTCTGTTGTTTGCTGTTCCTTCTTTCATTACCTCCTCTCTCAATCACTTTTCCCTCTCTACCACCCATAACACCACACATCCATCACCATGTCTACTGAGCAGATCCCCGAGAAGTTCTCTGGCTGGTTGGGCCACGAGCCTGAAGCCGCCAAGGGCAAGATGGTCTGGGGCGAGTTCGAGCCCAAGGTACGTTTCGTCAGTTCATTGATGCTGCTGACATCTACTAACATACAATGACAGACCTTTGAGGAGACCGACGTCGACATCAAGATCTCCCACTGCGGTATCTGCGGTTCCGACATCCACATGCTCAGCTCCGGCTGGGGCCCTACTCCCTACCCCTGCTGTGTCGGCCACGAGATTGTCGGCAAGGCTGTCCGTGTTGGCAAGGAGGTCAAGAACATCAAGGTTGGCGACCGTGTCGGTGTCGGTGCCCAGGCTCAGTCCTGCCTTGAGTGTGAGGATTGCAAGAACGGCAACATGACCTACTGCAAGAAGGCCGTCAACACCTACGGCTCCGTCTACCCCAACGGCAAGGACAAGTCGTATGGTGGTTACTCCAACTACAACCGCACCCACGGTGCCTTCGTCGTCAAGATCCCCGAGAAGATCGAGTCCGCCGATGCCGCCCCCATGCTCTGCGGTGGTGTCACCGTCTACTCTCCCCTCGTCCGCAACGGCTGTGGTCCCGGCAAGACTGTCGGTATCGTCGGTGTTGGTGGTCTCGGCCACTTCGGTGTCCTCTTCGCCAAGGCTCTCGGTGCTGACCGCGTCGTTGGTATCTCCCGCAAGAACGACAAGCGTGACGACGTCCTCAAGCTCGGTGCCGACAAGTACATCGCCACTGGTGAGGACAAGGACTGGGCCTCCGAGAACGCCCGTACCCTCGACCTGATCATCTGCACCGTCTCCAGCGAGAAGATGCCCATGTCCGAGTACCTCTCCCTCCTCAAGGTCGGCGGTACCTTCATCCAGGTTGGTGCTCCCGATGGTGGTAACCTCCCTCCCATCAACGCCTTCACCCTCATCGGCAACGGTATCAAGGTTGGTGGCTCCCTCATCGGTACTCCCCAGGAGATCGAGGAGATGCTCCAGCTCGCTGCCGACAAGGGCATCAAGCCTTGGATTGAGGTCCGCCCCATGAAGGAGGCCAACCAGGCCATCATCGACTTCGAGAAGGGCATGCCCCGTTACAGATTCGTCCTTGAGAACTAAGTGTTCTGACAACGACGTCTTGTTTTGCTTGCAACACAGAAAGGGCATCATGAAAAAGTCCTGATTAACGAATACCCCATTATACTATAGACTTATAGACCGTAGTACGCTACGAATTGCATTTGCTCTTGAACGAACAATATTCCATTACTTCCCATCTTTGTGCTAATGTCTTGATATGGTTGTTCAGAGAGAATGTATTTGAGGACATCACTCCGGGTACCAGACGCCTACCTCTATTGAGCTTCCGCTCACAGCCGACGTGTCATCTAGTTCTCCTTTCTGTACGTACTTCAGTAAATCAGATTTCGACTGTCGGTTTGTTGTTGAGATGACAGGATTTAGTTGCACGGTCACAGACGTGATAGTCGTCGCTGTTCGAGCCTGGTGATGAGTCGGCGCGTTCAAGTGTGTGAAGATTAGAGACCACAGGTCGGGTAGGCATATCTCGTACTGATGAGAAGGAAGGCGGAAGAAGAAGGATATTAGAGGAAGGGGAAGTGTTTCATTCCCGGTACGATACAGATTAACGTGTGGTTTCCCTGGTGGTTCAAGTCCAGTCAAATGTTTTGATGATGGCTTTGGGCCACAACCCCAAGAGCAACAACATTCCTCACTGAGAACAGGACGCTCGTTGATAGATTTTCAGAAAGTGATAGAAGATACAATAAAGTTATGCACAACTTGATTGAGCCCTTGAATAAAGCCAATTGCAAAGATCGTGGGTGCCGCAGTAGAAACAGGGTCACTCCATTGGCACCACGGATTTAAGATAGCAACGATAAGACCAACCCCGACGCCACCCATCGCGTCTGCCTGGATCTAGGAAACATTCTTCTCTCACACACGGAAGCAACTCCTGTGTAGCAACACTCTCTTTCACTCGGTGGTAGCAGGCTGCTTTAATCCTCTGGTCCATCACGCTTTCGCCTCTCACGTCTCACCTTTGATGCTCTTTGTTACCCTTAAGTCAATTAAATCTCATTGCGCCTCTCACACCACTCGTCTCTCATCCACCACTCAATATGTCGGGAAGACGCAATGGCAATCGCATTCGCGGNCCCGTCAGTACCATCGGACCCCTTAGTCCTTTTGTTCAATAACTGACCATATCTACCAGACAATCTGCCTTGACCGACTTCCTCTCTTCACACAACATCTCAGCACAACAAATTCGCGATGACTACGAACGCCGCGTTCGCGAAGCTGCCCAGCAAGAAAACGCCGGTGAAGGCACCTCCAATGCACCACAACCACCCAGCGATCCAGACGCCGAAGTCGCCGCCGCCCTAGCTGCAGAAGAAGCTGCAGACGCAGCCGCCGAGAAGTCCAGGAAGAGAAAGAGAAAGGAAGAAGCCGCCATTGAGAAGATCAAGAAAGCAAAGGGAGCAAAGGGTGGAAAGAAAAAGAAGAAGCCCATGAACAGCGACGACGAGGATGACGAAGACTTCGACGTTGGTAATGCCATGTACGTCAAGGCTCCTCCCATGCCTGGCCAATTCGAGAACTGCGAGAACTGCAGCAAGCGCTTTACTGTTACGCCATACAGCAAGAGCGGTCCTGATGGAGGCCTGGTCTGCACGCCCTGCGGCAAGGAGCTTGCNAAAGATGGAGATGCTGCTGCAGGCAAGAAGGCAAGAAAACCACCAGCTGGAAGGAAGAGACGCCAGGTCGAGAGCGAGCGTCTGAACGGTATCGCTGTTGGCGGTGCAAAGTCATTGCAGCAACTCTGCATCGAGAAGGTCGCTCAATACCACGAGGATGTCGACGAGCTGGGCGAATTGCCCGAGCCCGTCATGCTGCGATTGGCCGAGATCTTTGCGAAGAAGCGTGTCCTCAACCCAAAGACATTGAAGCTCTTCGTGCGACCCGACTCGGATGCTGTCTGCATTCACGATGCCGCCTACCTGGAGGTCGAGGACTACCAGGGTATCTGCGCTGTGGCTCCTGGACTCAAAAAGCTCGTCATTCGCAATGCCTGCCAGCTCAAGGACGAAGTCGTCGAGTACATGATGGAGAAGTGCGACTCGATCAACTACATTCAGTTCTATGCCGCCAACCTGGTGTCAGACGACATGTGGCGCAAGCTCTTTCAGCGCTATGGCAAACAACTCAGAGCAGTCAAGCTATCATGGTTGGATGCCTCGTTCGACGATGACACTGTCCGCGCACTCGTTCAAAACTGCCCCGATCTCATTCGTCTTAAGCTAAAGCTCTGCCGCAAGCTCACCGAAGAGTCCATCGTCGCTCTTGCTGACTTGACAAACCTTGAGCGCCTGTCGCTGCAGACTGGTGTTCAACCATCACCCGAGACTGTCATCAACCTCGTCAAGTCTGTCGGCCCCAAGTTGCGCACTCTCTCTTTCGAGGACTTCCTAGACCTCGATGATGCAGTTCTCGCCCAGATCAAGGAGTCATGCAACCAGCTTGAAAAGTTCCGTCTGCAGATGAATGACGTGGCAAGCGATGCTGCTTATGCTAATCTCTTCACCAACTGGAAGAACCCACCGCTCACCTTTGCCGACTTCAGCGGAACTCGCGACGTTGACAACAACAACCCTAAAGGCCCTGAAGAAGCCATTGGCCTCGCCTCTGCTGGTTTCAAGGCCCTGATGGCACACTCTGGTTCGGCTTTGCGCACCCTCGACATCGCCTCTTGCCGACATATCAGTTTGGAGGCTTTCCTCGACGTCTTCGGCAGTGGCGCCAAGTACCCCAACCTTGAGACCATCAACTTCAGCTTCTGCAGTGCTGCTGATACATCTGTGGTTGCTGGAGTCTTCCAGAGCTGTCCCGCCATCAAGAAGGTCATTGCCTTTGGCTGCTTCGACGTCACTGATGTCGTTGTCCCCAGAGGTATTGCTCTGATCGGTGTACCCAAGGCTCAAGACGCCATTGAGCAGATTGGTACCGGTATCGATGTTGCTGAAGCTCTGGGCCGCATGATCGATGTTGGTGCTTAAGATACCCCTGCCTGATCTCAGGTCTCTGTTTCATGCTTTTACTGCCGATTCTCTTTTTCTCTTTTGTCCAGCATTGTTAACATTAGCATGGAGTTTTCTGTGGCGTTTCTGATTTTCTCCTCTGCAATGAGGGATTGCTGCATGGACAGCTCAGGTGGCTTTTCATGACGGAAGATCGTACATGATAATCGACAAGACAATGCTTCTTTTCTTAATAAAAGTCATACAGTATTTTCGCCCCTAGATTTGGGCTACATCTACCAATCGTCGAGCATTTTGAGCTTGTTTCACATGTTTATATCTCTAGCCGTGACAGCCGTGATGGACATTCAACTGTACTGATTGCAGATGGCGCTTTCCTCCTAAAATCTCCGAGATAGCCGGTTTGATGATTGGAGGCGACGACTAGAATACACAATCCATCTCGAAGACTGAAAGAAAGAGACGAGAAACAGAGGAATATACCGCAGGCTGCACGGCATCTGCTTTTTCTTCTATTGCAAACACTTGGAGATCTGCTCCGCTAATGGGGTTGTTCTTTGACAGATGCTTGGTATGAAAGAACATGTTCGAAAAACATCCGCCACGACGTCACAAAAGCTTGTTCCTGCCGATCAGGGTTAACACAAACTTCCTTTCCCACCTTAAGACTCAACTGTCTTTAAATGGATATTGAGCGATTCGTTTTTTATGACTCTCATTTATGCTTGTATCAAAGTCTCTCTGCTCGAAAGGACTGAGGATGGCAATTACAGGAGAGAGATCGTACTTTAGAATCACCGTTATTCCCGCGTTCGACGAATTTCAGGAGGATCGGATTGCCCTAATGTCTGGTCTTGACTTCTCCATCTGCTATTTATGTTCGGATGGGGCGGATCCGTTATATACGCGTCCTATCGAACAGATTAGGAGGGGGCCCAACCTGTCGGCGGCGAGGTTCGTCATTGCATGTCCTGTGTATAGTATCTTGATTTCTTCCTCCTTCTATTGCTTCTTTGCTAGCTATGCTTTTTGAATACATGCTTTCTTTGACTAGACTAACAGGGACTGTCATTGTTTTCTTCGCCAAAGCTGATTCTGCAGAGTGAGTTGATGAGGATTGGACACGACTCAGATAGCAGCCATGGATCGGTCATCTACTGATCGTGGCCGTCGTTTGCGTTCTGCTGTGAGTCTCTTCTGTTCTCATTGTCGCGCCAATCGCTGATATTTAACANNGTCTTCAATCCAACAAGACAACTTCGACGTAGCATCCCAGAATGCTGAAAACAGTAATGATGACGCTCCAGTCAATCCATCCGTCAACCGAGCCCGAACATTCAATATAGCAGACTCATCACCCAATACTGGCATCCGTCGCCGAGGCACAGCAATGAGTTTCCGTCCGCGGAACAGATCTTTGATTCGAAGAGCAACTGGAACGAGTTTTGGAAACGAAGAGCCGTTCAGTCTTGCTGGGCCGCAGGATGTTGTCGCCGTCGCTCATCAACATGTTCCCTACGTGGATCCGGGTTATGCTCAACTCAACCCGGCGTATACACAGCCCATGCATGCTAAACCGGTGTGGTCATTGGCAAAGCCTTTGCCCAGGGTTGTGAGACCTGGTATGGTGCCCACTGCCAGCGAAATCGACAATATCAATCAGCATATGGGAGATACTGAAATCACCGAGGGTGATGTGGAACAAGGACCAGAACCTACACTTCGCCTCGGCCGCGTATCTTCCAAACTCCAAGCCGTGCGAGCAGAAAGGGAACGACGATTCCTGGAAGGCAGGTCTGGATCTAAGAAGGTTACGAGGAACAGAGCAGATTCTCAATCTTCGATGCACTCGCAAAACAACCAACAGCTTCGTCCTGTGAACAGCGCTCAACAAGGCAGCACTGTTGATGTTCTACCGGATGTAGCTGAAGAGCACGAACCCATGGACCACGAGCAGTTCCCAGAGTACAACGAAACCTTTGACGCCACTCCATCTTACCGCCCAACCTACGAATTCGACGACAGCTTTTCTGCGAAAACAGCCTTAGATACTGTTCCCTCTGACGATGACTTGACCCTCACAAACAACAATCTCGAAGACGAAGTCTATAATGCACACACACATTGGAGCGTCATCCGTCACCGCTTCCGTCAAGAGTTGGCAGAATTCCTTGCTGTGCTTGTGCAACTGACTCTAGGCTTTTGTGCCGACTTGTCCGTTACNTTTGGGGGTGCATCAGCAAACAACGCCATTTTTGGATCTTTGGCTTGGGGCTTTGCAACCATGACTGCAATCTACATTGCCGGAGGTCCTTCGGGTGCGCATCTGAATCCGGTAATCACCATTGTACTCTACATTTTCCGCGGCTTTCCCAAACGCCAAATGGGAGGATATATCCTTGCGCAATTTCTGGGTGCTTTCATTGCTGGATTTATCACTTATGGCATNTTTTCGTCGCAGATTCATGCGTATATTGCTGCCCCTGGTGCAGGGACCACACAACAAGAAGCCACGCAAGATATTTTGAACGCATTTCTTACTGGTCTGCGCAACGATAATGTTACACTGGCTGCTGGCTACTTTACCGAATTCGTGGCTACGGCTTTTCTGGCGCTTGTTGTTCTTGCCCTCGGCGACGATACAAACACACCACCTGGCGCAGGAATGACAGCCCTCATCCTCGGATTTGTAATTTGTGTCTTGTTGCAAGCTTTTGGCAGTACCACTGGCGCAGCTTTGAACTCCACTCGCGATTTAGGTCCCCGTCTCGCTCTCTACGCTTTAGGATTCAGTGGAGAATTACTATGGAAAGGCAATTGGTGGCTCTGGGGCCCTTGGTTGGCGTGTATTCCTGGCGGCATCGTGGGAGCAATGATGTATGATATTTGTATCTTTACTGGTGGAGAGAGTCCGATCAACTATCCGAGGAAGAGGGTTTGGAGGGCTGGACACAAGGCGAAGAAGAAGTGGGCCAAGAGGCTCAGGCCTTGGAGGAAGGGCAAAGGGAAGAAGAGTAAAGAGCAAGAGCAGGGGTGGAGCAGAAGCCATAGAATTGGGTGTTTCTCTTGCTTAGACTGATTATAGACATACAGATATAGAAGAACAGATGCATCACCAAAGTTGACTTTTGTCGTCCCATCCTCACTCCCCTGGAAGCTCAAAGATAAGCGAACATGAAAAAGTGTGTTCTGTTCATAATTATAGTTCACCATTGCCATAGCTCTACAGGAATCACATGCCGATAAACGCCCTTGCCAGATGCGTATGCAATGCTGCTTGACGAAATCAAGTGAACCATGACCCTCGATAAACCTTGTCCAACCTCTCACATGCACAGATAACCATCCAACATAAGTCCACCTGCTACAACAACCAGAATGCACCCGTTCTCACCAACCAATAAAGAAAGCGTTGATTGACTGGTTTTCATGCCGCACGTCTCCTGCGCGAAGTATCGAAGCCTAGGCGCGACACTTGCTAAGTTTGAGTTCTTCTCGTCGTGTATCTCGATGGTCGTATAGAGTCGCCTGACAGAGCGGAGAACGCCAATATCCCGTTTCTAGCAACCCAGTTATACTACAGAAACAAATCCTGATGTAGTGATCCCGAGCATTTACAAGTTTTCGCAAGAGCCGTTGAGAAGCGGTTTTCACTAGACGACTATTTGAGCTCGAAGTACATTGTGCATTTGGATGTTTCTAGGAGTACTGCTTGGAGCTTCCTCAGGTATATGGCAGCGAGATCGTAGGAGGGTACCTCTGGAGCAGCCGAGCTTCTTTCTTGGTCTCTCCAAGACTATCGGGTGGATAAGTGAGCTGGGGTAGGTACCTCCAGAGTATTACTTCGATCACGAGTCGTTATTGCTGGAGTTGCATATGCGAGGGGCGAGACAGGATCTTGGATGTCGATCGATCTTGCTCCCATTGAGTCAGACCGTGACCGCCGATGTGTATGATCGTCTGAAGATGGAATAGCAATCCGCATATCTGAAGCACGACTAGCTGATCTTGATAGGCGTCCTGAAGTATATCGTCGCTCCGTGCTCGTCAGATCCCCGTCTCGAAATTCTTGACCAGGAATTGTTGGATAGTTGTGGTAGTCGCGCCTTGAAGACGGATTGTCGAAACGACCCTTACCAGGGGTGCCCATGTAATCGCCGACCTTGTGCAAGAAATCGGACACTTTACGTCGTCCTCCTCTATCTGCCGGTCTGTCTGTCAGACCGGTACCAGCTGTGTTGACATGTGTCAAAGCGTTGGACTTCATCCTGCTGTGAGTAGAGTCATGAGTATCTGGGCGAACGCTTTCAGGACGAGATGAACTAGAGATGGAGTTTTCGTCTGTGCCATCATGAGGCTGGCCAGTGACGGACTCAGTCTCAGATTCAGCAGATGTCGATGTCACATATACGACGAGAGATCCCATCATGGCGAGTCCTGTTCCAACGATTGGTGCCCATTGACCTATACTGAGCGTTAGTCAAGTGTCAGGCACCGATGTAGCAAGGCGACGTTTTGTCTTACCGATACTGGCAATAGGTTCTGTCTGGAATCTGACTTGTCGACTGAACAGATTGATCTCGCCGAGGATGAGAATGACCACTACCGCGACACCGAATAACGGGGCTTCGATGACGTTCAACAAGCGCTTGATGAGACTGTTAATATCCTTCACCTTCTTTTCTTCTGGGTCCTTCTCAGTTTCTCTTCCATGGCGTGACTTCCAGTTGATCTCGAGGATTTTGTTCCACATGGATATGAGCGTTAGGATAGCCGGAATACAACATGCAGCGCAGAGCAGTGTCACAGTGCCGAAGGTTAGTCGAGTTGGTGCAGGTATCACATAGATGTTGTTTGCTGCATCTCTGCGCATCGGAGATTTCGGACCCGATTCGACAGTACAGACCAAACCACAGTCGGTTACCCCATAGTTGAAGTTCGTGAGGGATACAAGACTTCCAGTGTTTGACTTGCAGACCTGCGTCTTGGTGCGAAAGAACTCGACAGCCAGGCTCAGTAGACNCTTCACAAGTTAGCGCTCTAGATCTAAACTAGAGACAGGATGTGTATTCCTACCAGAAAGGATAAGGACAGTCCAGAGAAAGATGATGTTTCGACCGGGATCCAGGAAATATGTCCGTGAGTTTTTGACGGTCGCTGGTGCTGCTAGAATACCCAGAGAGCATAACTGGAAAGCTCCATATATGTCCATATCTACGGCTCNCTGAGTACAACTTTAGCTAACTGAGTCATGTTAGTCGGCGAACGTATCGAGCTTACCATCAACATGTAGAGCTGCAAGTGTGATACCATGGAGAGCAGCAACCGCCGGAAAAAGTAGAACAGCAGCCAGACAAGCATTCTTTATCCAATCTGCCTTCTTCGCGAAAACACATAGAACGACGAGAACATAGTANNACTGCGTTGTTCAGTAATGTACATTGATGGAACTACCCTAATGAACTCACAGCACTCTTGAACCCGGTCCGTATTGTCCGCTTACTGGCCAAGCACATACAACGTGCAGCCCAGGACTTGAGCCGTCTGTCGTTGTCACATTGCGTGAGAATAGTTCCCCAATCGGAAACAATGGTGAGATGGGCGGCATGGCCAAGAAGGGAGACGTCCGCCGAGGGAGGGCCGACACGTGTGGTTGAACGTCGGCTAGTTGCTCCGCTTCCAGAAGACTGTAACAGACTCTCGAACTCTGATGTTGTTCATCAAGGACTTGAGAGATGGAGAAAATTGTGTTTGTTGTAACGACGTCTGATTCCCATCTTCAAATGAGGCGCTGCGCCTTCGGGGCGTGGGCGATTCCTTCGGGTACATGGGCACTTTATGGCTGCCTTTTTTCTTGGGCTGGGAAGGAACGTGGTGCTGGAAAGCGAGGCCGAGGCGCGGGGTCAAGGTCGATCCTCACCGGTTGGTTCCTTCCTGTGAGCGACGGCCATTTACGGCCAAGATTCAAGGGTCATCGAATGAAGCGACCTTCAAGAAAGAAGGATCGAGTTGTCTTAGACCAGTTTCCTATTAAGCATACGAGGTGTGCGTTGCGCATGCCGCCACACCGACACTCCGCCCCTTTCGTCAGCAAAAAGACAGTCCTCAGTATATCTCGTTCGCGTCGCACTGATTATGTTGTCGCGACGACGTAAGTAGGGCACGAGAACCACCGACCATACAGACAGAAAAGCCCGTCGCGCTAAACATCACCAAACCGACTGAAGATGGCCGAAGACCTCGACACCAGTAGAATCAAGGAATGGCGGTCGATTGTCACATTGATTGTTTTTCTGTTGACCAGTAAGTCGCAGCCTTGACACGATTCACCATGTGTCCATCCTGACCCGGACACAGACATTGTGGTCCTTTTCCCATTCAAGATTCCCATGTATATACCGCGGTCAATTTACAACGCTGTCTTGAATGCGCTCAGCGCATGTCGAATAATACCACCTAGGCGACATGGTGATTTGCAAAACAAAGATGGCGACAGAGCCTCAAGATTTGTGCGCATGAATTTCTCAATGAGTTTTTCGACTGCGCCATTGATTGCGGACCTCTTTTTGCTGGCAATCTCAGCTATTGGCCGTCAGGAAGTACATGATGGCACCGTCGGGGCTAACAATATCAGTCCTATCGACATCATGGTGTTCTTCGTCACTCTGGCTTACATCGCCATCTCCATCGATGCATCTGGACTCATCAGGTTCCTGGCTTTCAAAGTACTGCAAAAAGGAGGGAAAGTAGGCCATTTACTCTTCTTCTACCTATACGCATTCTTCTTCAGTCTCGGAGCTTTCGTCGGAAACGACCCCATCATCTTGTCTGGTACGGCTTTCCTGGCGTATATGACGCGAGTCTCCAGCAACATCGATCACCCAAGGGCATGGATGTATTCTCAATTTGCGATCGCAAACATTGCTTCTGCTATCCTGGTGTCATCGAATCCGACAAATCTGGTACTTGCTGGAGCCTTTCAAATCAAGTTCATTGTGTACACTGCCAACATGATCGTACCCGTCGTGGTCACTGCGATTGTTCTGTTCCCTTTCTTGCTCTACGTTGTTTTTGCAAGTCCACAACTCATTCCGCTCTCGATCGAAATGGAAACTTTGTCGGACGATGCCAAGAACAAGAAACCAGTCAATCCCAACATCCCTCAAGCCAAAGGTAAAAACCCGGACGACGATGAAGAAGAGTCTTTCGAAAACAAGGAGCGCGCACTTGCCGAGATCATGAATCCATTCTTGGACAAAGGAGGCGCAACATTCGGATCTGTTGTTATGGCAGTCGCACTCGTCACACTCCTTGGGATCAACGCGGCCAGCTCAATCATCGGCGAACATCCCGTCTTCTGGATCACTTTGCCAGCGGCCTTCATCATGTTCTGCTGGGATGTCTCTTATGGATGGAAACACCGCAATGAAACTCGCAAAATTGCTAAAGACCGCCAAAAGGAATTCAAGGACGCGCAAGAAGAGCGAGCCAGTAGTGAGCGACAGACCAACGGGATGTTTCAGACGCCAGGGGCTTCGAGCTCATTCGTCCATGTCGTANNCCCCCCTACTCCAGAGGTCGCAGGTTCTGAGAAGAGTATCCGATCAGTCACAGACACGAGCCCCAACACCGACTCAACGATACTTGCTGCAGAGCGAGACTCGACAAGCGACGGATTGATACACAAGAAAGCATCAAGGTTCGAATCCACTCCGTTGTCGCTCGCGCCACCGGAGACGGATTACTCACATACCAGGAAGCTTGATTCGGCACTTGATAAAGCCATCGATGAAGAAAGGACACAATCTAATGAGGATGACACAAAAGACCGATCTCTTGTGACGTTTGTTACAAGGAACTACAGATGGCTTCAAGAGACTTTCCCTACTGTCATGGCAGTCTTAGCCCATCTTCCCCTCAAGCTTGTCCCCTTCGCGCTTTCTATGTTCGTACTCATTCAAGGACTTGTTACCAAGGGTTGGGTACCTGTATTCGCTTACGGATGGGACCACTGGGTGACCAAAACCGGTACCGTTGGCGCAATAGGCGGAATGGGGTTCCTCGGTGTTGTTCTTTGCAACGTGGGTCTTCTTTAACAGAATGATACCTCCAAACACATTACTGACTTACTCAATATANNGTTTGCAGGAACGAACATCGGCACAACCATCCTGCTGTCTCGAGTAATCCAAGCTTGGCAGCAAATCCACATAAACAATGGTATTCCTATCACCGACCGCACGTTCTGGGCAACTGTATATGCCATGGCTCTCGCCGTCAACTACGGAGCCTTTAGTACGGCGTTCAGTGCATCGTTGGCCGGTCTGCTTTGGCGAGATATCCTTGAGCGCAAACATATCCATGTCAAACGACTTGACTTTGCGCGCGAGAATATACCAATCATTGCAACGTCGATGGTGGTGGGCTGCGCGGTCTTGATTGGTGAGATTTACATCATCAGGGATAACTCGCCGTACAAAATGGGATAGGAATGTGTATAGATATCTTAGCTCTGGAGTTTCTAGATTGTATATAGAATCAAAACAATGTGTTTTTACTTGAATGGATCTTAGCGATAAGAAAATCTTTCAATTGTCGTGTGGAGGGTAAATATAGAGCTTCTCGGTTGCAACGGTCCAGATCGAAGAAATACGGGTTTTGGTAGAAGAAAGGGTGTTTGGATTATTCCAAGATCCTTGACGTTAAAGAGTCAAACCAGAGTATGAGCTGTGCTTCTTAACAGCTCTATAAAAAGAATTAGGAGAAATACGGCTTCGTTCTGGATCACCACTGATATCTGGTTCGATAGCTCTTCACGTGTTGCTTGTGTGACCTGGCTCAAACTTTGTAAAGTCGCACAGACTTCAGCCTGTACATCGGAAAGCAAGTTTGCATTGTCCCAGCACGGTACTATCTACAGGTTATTCAACTCGGCTAGGATTGGTAAACTATGAGGGAACAGATCGGCCACAAGGCCCATCAGACAACACAAAACCGACGGCGATATCGCTAGAACTTGAGAATCATGCAATCCCGGATGAGCCGTCACAAGTAGAACCAAAATCCAAAGCGCATTCCTGGTACACATTTAGGAAGTTGCTCCCACTACAATCCGGAGTTGTGGCGCACAGCTCACTAGTGGAGTGCTGGTCGTTCTGATAGCAGATGCGGTAACCGTTTCGGTGGAAGAAACCATAACGGTGCTTGTGATTGTTGAGTAGATAGTCGTGGTCGTAGAAAAGGTGTCCGTGGTTTGAGAAAGGGTCGAGGTTGATGTCGATGTTTACATAGCTCGTGCTAACGGTAGTCAGAGCCGCAGCGGTGCTTGTGGAAACTGGAGTGAAAGTGCTATCTTTAGAACAACGGGGAGTGTGACTGTCGGCAATGAAGATTTGGTCCTGATGGAATTTGTAAACTTGGGACCATATTTGGTCAAGCAGACCTCCTGGGTGTATGTGGATGTTTTAGCAAGGACAGAAGTAGCGGCCGCAATGGCCAGGAAGACGTGTTTGAACATCCTCGTGGAACAAGAATATGAGAGCCGAGCCGATGTCGACTTTGGCGGGAGAGTGAAGTTTTGGAGCAGATGACATGACCTTTTATGTTCAACGAGACGGTCGTATGGTTGTGGGAACGGATAGATGCTCTCCAATCAGATTATGGCACGGAGTTAGTGGTGCACCATTGTATATGGAGCGGATCACTGAGAAACTGAGAAGCTGAGAAGTGTACAGAGCGGCCTTGCACACCCCTACGTCTAGCAGACGGCTGCCAGCTTGTCTACTAGAGCAGCGTGCCCAAGGCCAGAAAAGGATCTGCCTGTTGTCAGACTCCAACCGAGGAAACGTCCCTGATTGGTCTAGTCCCTCTTCGGTGATGCTTTCGCGAGGATGGGCTGGAATGTGCCCAGGAAACTCTTCCGGGATGCATATGGGCCTTTCTGGTGCTGAAAATGCTCAGTCGATGCCAGCTGAATGTCGCAGATACACATGTACACATACACACAAAAGTTGACTACTGCAAGACGTATCAAAAAGTAAGCAAAGCAACACAAGGAAGGAGCAGCCCAGTAGAGCTTCCAGAGGTACGAGTGAAGTAACGAAAGCGGAAGGAGTGACCGATCGAAGCTGGCAAGGACACCGAACGGATGCGGAAGAGATGATGCAGCGATTCTAGACGTCAGACAGAGGACACGTATTGTCAGATTGCTGGATGAGATACTGTATCATCAAGTTGGTAATGATCGGAGGCACGTGTCTAGGACTCGAGTACTTGTATCGTTGGCTCTCTTGTTGGATTTTTGACAGCGAATACAGCCTAACCATTCAGGATTGATCTTTGTTGTGTTGTCCATCATCTGCTTCATTATGACTACGTGCAAAGATAGTGAGATGCTCCATGATTGCCTTTTTCTCTCATGACTTTCTCTTCTGTATCGCCTACATAGCGCCTTCTCGATGAATTTTTGACTGCATTGTTCTTGCCATGCTTGTTTCAACTCCATCGTTCTTTACAATCATGTTCCAATATCATCGCTCCTTCCATCTCTGTCTCACTTTAATTGCTCTTTTCTAGTATGTTCTTGTGTGGATCGCCCCTTCTTCTCTTGTAATGACTGCTTCGTTCCTTCCATTCCTGTTCGAATTCATCGTTATCTTGCTTGGATCGCGCCTTACTGATATGACGTGTATGTATCGCTCCTTCACTCTACGCCTTGACTGCATCGTACCTTCCTCTCGGATCTTCACACCCGATTCCTTTTTGCTGGGGATGTTATCTGTCCAGGCGATGCACGACTAGAGAATCAACAGATTACAAGCAATTGTCTCAACAGGAACTCAAAGACCAAGCACGAGTTGAACCAAGAGAAATTGACGTAAAAACAAAACAATTTGATTTTGTTGCAAATCCAGACATTAAATCTCATGTTCCATACCACATACCATCCTTGATAAAAACAAAAGGCCACGGAAGAAGCCGTCAAATAACAAAAGATTAACACAAAAAGTGTTTGAAGAAGAGAAGATGAAGGAAAAGAACCCGCCAAGTAGAAGAAGAGAGGATCATTCTCCGAGAGACATTAGGAGTTAAGGTTACCAAGTTCGAATTTAGAACAAGAAGACCGAGAAGACGACTGCGGCAATGGCAACGACACCGCCCTGGACGCTGACGATGGAACCAGCACCAGTGAATGCCAAAGGCTTGGAGACAGTGGCGGTGGCGTAGGCAGANNGGGTGGTCATGCCGGAGGAGGCAGAGGTCATGTTGGAAGGGCAGTTCACACCGTTGCACTGAGCGGGAGCGGACTGCTGGGGGATGACGGTATTGATGGTGACCTTGTAAGTGGTGGTCGCGGCACCGTTGTTTCCAGCAGGGCAGTGGACGCCGTCACATCCCTGAGTGATGGTGGCGGTGGTCTGCTGGGGAGNTGGGGGAGCGGTGGAGACAACAACGTATTGTGTGTAGGTGGCAGTGGGGCCAGCGCTGACGACCTGCTGGACGTAGACAATGGACTTGCTGGCGTTGTCGCCGGTCATGGCAGNGGGAGCAGCGCTGGAGCTCTGGGTGAGGTGTGTGGTGTAGTACTCAGTGATGGTTGTGGGCTGAGCAGGGACCATCTGGGTTCCGCTGACAGTGATCTGGAAAGATGGTCAGTAGGTTTCTGGATCGATGTTGTGTGGGTGTATTCTTACAGTCTGGCCAGCAGGGCACGAGTAGACAGTGCTGGTAACAACATCCATCTCGGTGACAGCGCCGTAGATGGCGGTAACGTAGTTGGCGTTGGTAGGGTAAGGGCACTGGTAGACAGTCTCGGAAACCGGGACAACAGTCGTGACAACGGCAGCGTTCTGGCCGGCTCTAAGAGGGCAGTCGGTCTGAGAAGAAGAGTCAGTAAGGAGGTTCACTGTAGAAGCATGTCAAAAAGCGAAGACTTACGACAGTAGGTGCGCAAGAAGAGATGGTGACGACGGTGGTCTGGAAAACGGTAGCAGTGGAAAGAGCACCACCGTTGGCGCCTGCGGGAACGCTGGTGACGGCGCAGGTAGGGCAGACGACAGCGGTGCGGGTGACAGNNTAGCAGTCTGAACGGTTGAACCGCCCTCAGTGAAGATGGTGCTAGTCTGGACAAGAGTCTCGGTGACAGTGGTGGTTCCAGCAGCGGCACCGTTGTTCTCAAGACGAAGAGCAGCGTCCAGACCCTGGGCAACGACGAGCTGGAAGGTGCTGTAGTAGGCACAAGTGTTGGTGGTGTAGTCGAATGTGGTAGCAACGCAAGCAGTCTCGGTAGAGCAGATATCAACGCAGTTGCTGATGCTGGTAGGGAGGCCGGTGTCTTGACGCTTTCTGGGAGCCTCAATGGTCAAAGCATCACCAATGACACCGTGGTTGCATTCGACAACAAAGTCAACATCGAGGGGAGTGTTGACGACCATTCCGTTGTACTTGGGGCAGATAAGTCCCTCGAGACCAGTAGGAGTAGCGATAGCAGAAGAGCCGGTGCTGGAAGCAGTAGAGTTGGAGCTAGCAGTGCTGGAGCTGGAGCTGTTCTGGCCAGCGCGCGACTCGACAGTGGCAAAGGTGACTCCAGGAGCATCGGTGCGGCTACTGGCGTCAATGCTGCTGTAGTAGGTGCAAGTGTCATCGTTAGAGTCAAAGGCAGTGCCCTTGCAGGTGGTGTTCTTCGAGCAAGCCGAAAGACAGTCATCCAGGGTCATGCCTGCTCTCTTGGCGAAATCAAGCTCAATATCGAAGGTGACACCACTGTAGGTGATGTTGATCTCGAGCTTGAACAGAACGCCGTTGAAGGTGATGATCGAAGGGGTGGCCGTGTTGGTTGCGGATGGAGCAGCCGAGCTTCCCGATCCAGATGCACGAGTTGCTGAGCGAGAAGCAGAGATGCCGGATCCAGTAGCAGAGCCAGAAACTTGGACGCTGCGAGACTGAGACAGCGAGGCGGTAGCGCTGTGAGACAAATTGCCGTACGAGAGAGTGCTCGAGTAACCGGCAGAGTGGCTCGATGCAGATTGGCTCGTGGAGACACTGGAGCTGGTGCCATTGCCGGCGCCACCTGAGGTATCGACAGGGGCACCGTTACGAGTGAGGACCTTTGCAAAGTCGGTACCGGGAGCACTCTGAGGCTGGTCGGAGATGCCAGAGAAGTACGAGCACTCGGAGGTGCTATCGGTGTACGAGGTTCCAACACACTCAGTGCTGGCAGCACAGTTGTTGATACACTCGTTCAAGTTGGAACCACGAGCTCTCTTGCCAAGTCCCCTCTTCTTGAGACTGATTTGGCTACCGGAGTAGGTGACGTCGGTCTGGACGTCGAACTTGACTGGGCCAGTGGGACCTTGAACAACAGGCTGGGCTCCGTCGGTGTCTGGGGAAAGAGGTCAGTCGTCTATTATAGGGGCCAATGAATGCCAAGTCTTACAGGTGGGGGCTGCCGAAGAGGAAGAGGTCTTGGTCACACCATCAGACAAGGTTGCAGTGCCAGAGCCCTCAGATCCAGTGACCACGGGAGTGGTAGAGAACATGGTGCTGGAGGTGGTGAGGTCTACAGGGCGGCTGCTCGACGACATGGTGCTGTTTCCAGTGGAGGTCGACGAGTTCGTGTATGTTGCAGCTGCAGCTGTACCCATAAGGGCAGCAGCCATGGTAACGAATGTGTTCTTCATCGTGTTGATGGGTTAGTAGGATGTCTAAAAGAGTGACTGAGTTGGAGTGGATGATTTGGACAATGGGAGTCCGAGGACTGGATATTTATGTGAAAGTTCTTGTCATCTCGATCTTGTCGTTGTCCGGACCAGAAGTATGTTGATAGCTGAGAGTTGCAGTGGCGTGGATTCTCGACGCGGAGCAGACGATGAGTATACCGTTCTCATTTCCCACCACGGGGTAGAAGGCAGCTGAAGGTCTGGGGGCGGATTAAGCTCGTTGGTATCTATGCAACCGCTCGACCTGACAAACGCCATGGAAGCACCTGCACGTTGCTGCCTTACTTGAATCCGTGTAGAGTTGGTCGTCGCATCTTCCTTTCCTGTTGAGTCTATCGCTGTTTCCTAACATATGGTACTTTTCGTGCTCATGACCTTCAAATCTTTCTGCATCTCAGGCATCGAGAACCTGCGCTCGACCCTCGTTCAGCCAATTTCATGCATCGCGGCGGTTTGTTGATCTCTAAACCCCTCACGAGAGAGTTCACGGACCCGTTTTGATCTGTTGTTGTTATTGTTTCCATGAATCGGTGAACCCAAACGTTGCGGTTGCTATATCAGGGACCAGCTGTTGTGCTGGAAGGCTGTGCGTCGCGGAGAGGTTGACGTTGAGGATCATGATATGGGGAGATTAGAAATGGGCGTCTGAGGATGGAGGCGCACCGTTAACACCTTGATAAAGGAGTCGAGGAGAGGAGGTCACAGAGCGGTGATTGCTTTGCAACGGTGGACGGGCAAGACCGTGATGTCATCTAGCCCCAGTATGGAAAGACAAGATCACGCAAAGAGGCGATACTGAATGTCATGATGAACATGTGTGTACCTGTATAGCACCTTAAAAGTCATCGGCGAAAGGATTTCCAGCAAGCGGCATTGCCTTGCATGTACAGAAGGAGGGAAGTGCTGTCTTGTCGAAGCCGTCGGCAAGGAGCTCGGAGTGCGGCCCGTTGCGCCGTTTTGCCGATCCTTGCTTTGGACCTTTCTCCTGCCTTGTGCATCACCTCCGACAATTTCGGGAAGAAGAGGTCACTGACGGCAGATCAGATACTGAGCCTGTAGACCATGCCAGATCACACACATGTGTCTCCTCAACGCAGTATTGTGTGGAAATTCGGCACGCACTGCGATTGCAAGGCAAGTGCCATCTTGGCATGCATGAACAGATACCTTGTTACGTCCAACGGTAAGCTGAGGATCGATGACTAGAATAACATTGAGATAAGAGCATAGAGTCCGTGAAAGGACGAGAAGTACCCGAAAATACTCGCATGTACACCAAGATTGTTGAATACTCCAACGCTTCGTTATGGTACTCAGGCCTTCTCAGCTCCCTTCTCAGCTTTCGTCTTCTTCCAAATCTCCACCTCACCGCCGCCATGAACAATTCCGACTCGCATAGTGGATAACAGATTGTGTGCAGCGTTTGAGTGTTGGTAAACACCACCATTGAAGATCGAAGTAGCATCCTTGCCGACAGCCGACAGAATCAGTGCTTTGCCGCCAGGATGCTCCCTAATGAACGGAGCGATATCGTGTATCACGCCTCCAATAGCTACGAGAGCCTGCCCGTTACTTCTTGCCTGGACGACGAATGCTTCCCAGCTGAACACAGGAAGCTGTGAGATGGGGATGCCCCAATCCAGTTTGGCCCGCTTCTGATCCACCTTCTTCTGGAGCTGTTGAAGACGGCCCTTTTCGATCTCATTCTGTCGAAACTGCTTGAGATCGTAAGCCAGTCCGAGTTTATTCCATGTCCAGATCATCCATTTCGTAGGGTCATACTGCCACCATTCGATAGCGTTGCGATAGTCTGATGGAAATTCGTGGTGGAAGTTGTGGTAGCCCTCGCCGAGAGTGACAAGAGCAGTGATAACGTGGTCGCGAGGTGAGTTCCGATCGTCAAATGGCTGCTCGCCCAGCCAGTGAGCTAGCGAATTTACACAGAAGGTTGCCTGTTGGATAAATCCCGTGCGTAGGATGCCAGCATACACAAATCCACCGAACCAATCACCCCATCCCAGGCCACAAACGAGCGTCGGGACAATAAGGGCCATGGTCAGAACCGACTTGATGTAGTGTTTGTGCTGCCACACAACAACCGGATCTTCGTTCAGATCACTAATATCCGATCGACCAATTCTCTTAGGATTCTGCTTGATGACCATCCAACCCATGTGGCTATACCAGAACCCTTTTTCCACAGAGTAGGGGTCTTTCGATGTGTCGGTGTAGCGATGATGAGCTCGATGACCTCGCGACCACCATCTGATACTCCCCTGAGCAGCACCGGCTCCAGCGGCAGCCAGATATATTTTGAGCGGAAGGGTTGCCTTGTAGCATGAATGTGCCCAGAGACGGTGATATCNCTTTCTGGTCGTCAGTACATGGTGGGGGCTACAACATCCCGAGACGTTTGACATACCGGCTGTGATGCCCGAGCCACACATGACATAGTAAACAACAGCAAAAATTCCTGTGTAGAGGCGCAACGGAGTCTGACTGGCTGCCACGAGGCCTGTGATAGGTACGATGATGATAAAGTAGATGCTCAGCCAATCCAGATGCTGGTACCAGTTACTCCACGTTACCGGCAGCTCAGTGATATGAGGCTTCTTCATGTCGTAAGCTCTGGATCTTAGTGGTTGGTAGTCCATAGTACCGTCAGAGGAGCAGTAGCCCTCTGTTGGGAGTCCTGTGTCTCAGACGCCATGGTGTTTTGATGGGAGCGTGGGATGAATTCGAACCAAGTTTGGCTAGAAAACAAGAGACCTAAATCTGTTGAAGAGAAGAGGGCATCTTTATAACCACTCAGCTTGACGCACAAGAGAATAATTGAGTGTTGACGCCCAGGAGCAAGAACATTAACTAGGGGTCCATGCAGGCCGGGTGTGGAGATACATCTGGTGATTGATCACCAATTTGACGAGGCATTGCGATTTCGTTGAGAAGCGCGCTGAGTCCAAAGATTCAGTGAGCCCAGGCAGACAGGTTCTCGCCCTGTTTATTGGAGTACCGCTATCTGTGCATATCGATGGCATGAGTCGAGTCGAAGCGCAGAGTGTAATTCAGGAAGAGCTTGCGAAGGACAAGCTGCCGTGAAGAGGGGATTCCTTGGCGTAGGATGAAACATCTTGACTTGCATGCAGGTCGCAAGAGTTACCACTTACGGTGAATGTATGAACAGATCCCTGAGTGCAAAGCATTCAGCTGACCGTGTCCTTTGGTCGGTAAATGTCAATGTGATCAGTCTTGTAGTTCCAGGGCTCTGATTACTCGAACGCTGGGTGCTGCGCGTCTTCCAGAACTGGAGACGATTCCATCGGTGTTTAGCCGCGGCAGATGTTGATGGACTCACCCTGTCTGGACATCATTCACTCTAAACCTTTCCAGAGACATGCTTGACAGCTTGCTCTAGCTGTTCCCGGACCAGATATTAGTGTATTTTTATGGTCTTAAGTCATGGAAGAAGAAATACATGCTGCTGGTACCCTTTCTCCGTTGACATGCTTTGGGCTATAATTACACATCGGACGGTCGATTATCTCACAGTCGGTATTCAATCGTGCCATAGATCTCGTCAATACTCTCTCTATGTAGTGGAAACACAACTACGGTCGGAGTGTTACATATTTTGATAGACATCGGAGGCTTACAACATCGAGCCTTAGGACCTCTGGTGATTGTCGCTGGTGGTCAGCACATGTTGTTGTTGCGGCGGACGGCTTTTGAATGACCGAGGACGGGGTCCGAGCAGTCGGGCGGGGTTTTGGACAAACAACCAACCTTCGATGGTCTCTCTTGACAATTGGACCATGGTGCACGCAATGTCGGCGTCGCAGGATCCGTGGCGTAAGAAGGAACAGTACAGTGATCGGACACATGTGAGAAGTGCGTCCGATTCGCGCGCTATATCTGTAGGTACCATACCACCCGCCAGGAAGTCGCTCTTGTTCAACATCAGTTGCGACTTCCTTGATCCCATAGAGACACACCTGCCTGCTTGCTCTGTAACCCCTGACTAAGTTGTCGAGACACTCCTCGGTCAACCCATCAGTTTTCTATCCGCTTCACAATGGCAGCTCCTCGAAGACTACTCGCTGCAGTTTCTCCTGCGACTCTCGGATTCGCAGCAGCTGCGGGAGCTGGCCTGGTTGCTTTTAAGATGTCCAAACCTTCTACAAGCCCAGCAGAACCACAGAAGAGTCTCGGACAGAAACCTGTCTTTCCGGCTATGGGCTTTGTGAGTTTGACACTTGAAGAAGCTCGTATGGTCAATCACGACACCAGAGAATTGAAATTCAAGCTGTCTGGAGATGGAGCCATCAGTGGTTCGAGCCCTGTCTGTGAGTAACTCGTCTAGCGGAGAGTGGACATGCATGGACTGACACGATGCAGCNNATCACTTCTCACGCGTCACACAGCTGACGGCGCTTGGTTACCGACTTTTCGGCCCTACACGCCCATCAGCACTCCAGATAGCCCTTACATCACCCTCCTCGTAAAGCAATACCCAAACGGTCGTGCCTCGACACATCTTCACAACCTAGCTCCCGGCCAGACGCTCAACGTCAAGTCCATCCCAGAGTTCCCCTACAAACCCAACCAACACAAGCATCTCGTCCTTGTCGCTGGCGGCGCAGGCATCACGCCCATGTTCCAAGCTCTGCGCAGCGTCCTGGACAATCCNGAGGACAAGACCCGTGTGAGCTTGGTCTACGCCAACAAGACCGAAGCAGACATCCTGATGAGGAAAGAGCTGGATGCCTTGGCTAGTCAACACCCTCAACGATTTACAACAACCTATGTGGTCAACGACACTAGAACAACAGACAACAGCTTGGAGAGAGGCTATGTGACAAAGGATATCTTGAGCAAGGCGCTCCCTGCACAGCTTGAGGGGGATCATGTCAAAGTCTTGGTATGTGGTCCTCCAGCTATGTTGGATGCGATCTCCGGCGCCAAAGGTGCAAGGGGCTGGACTCAGGGAAAGCTGGGAGGTATGCTCAAAGATTTGGGCTTGACCGAGAAGCAGGTGCACAAATTCTGAAAACAAGCGCGTTGTCCTCGGAAACCACATACTGATTGCACCGCGAGATGATGATCGCCATTTGAACTCCTTGGCCAAAACCAAAAGATGATGCTTGCTCCTCACTGCTCTACTCCGAGTCCAATACTTTCTGGGTTGACACACCTCGTAGGGAGAAGCGATCGGCACAGAAGTGCGAGCTCATGGCGGAAACGTATACAGCGATATATGCCTCAATGTAACACGCCGATCAGATTGGGGACGAGATTCTTTCGTTATCAGCCGCATCACATGTCATGGTAGCCATCCGCCATTTCGCAATGAACTCGATGAAGATACGAGAAGACGGCAGAATCACATGCTCCGAAAAAACCATGAACGAGCTGTTCTTGCAGCAATTCAAAGATGTCCTCTATGAGAGTCGAGCGGAACTTGTTGTATCTGCAGGGAATCGCGTCAATGGTGTAGCGTGTACGGAAAGCCCATCCTTGTTGAATGGTATCCTGAGACAACGCTGGCATTTGAACGACTTGATCGTGGCTAGCGATTGCACATGGCCAGTAAAAAACGGACCGGCGTCGATCAAAGCAGGACTGGATATCGAGATGCCGTTTAAATCAGATGGAAGGACTGCAGCAGCCAAATCCGCTCTCGAGCACAATACATTGGACTGGTCGGATGTAGAAGTTATGTTTGATCGGATATTGAAAGCTCAGCTACGCTATCACTGCCGCACAATCCAGATACCAACGCCGGACCCAGAGAAGATAAAATGTCAGCCCCACATTGGCCTTGCTCGACGATCAGTAGCCGAGTCTATGGTGCTCCTCAAGAACGACAACGACTTCCTGCCATTCGACAATACTTCTTAAATCAGATTAACTGTCTTGGGAGAGCTGGCGGACAGAGTCAGCTCTGCATATCAGTTTGATGCAGCATCTCATGCTGCAGGTCCTCCAGGAGCCAGCCCTTTGGAAGAGCTTCGAAAGCGACATAATGTGGTTGTTGACTACATGGCAGGGGATGAAAGCGGCCTAGCGACAAAGTCTGCCATGACCTCCGACGCCGCCCTGATATCTATACGGCCTTCGAGCAAATCTGACTGTGAACAAAAGCGAAGTCGCTTCCTTGACCGCTTCAGGTCTCGCGAGAAAATTGCAATAGTCGGATAACACGGTTAGGTGCACTGTGGTAACTATCTGAGGTTTTTTTCTACATATAAATACCCATAGATCATTGTTATAGCATAGACTTTCCTACGAGTTGCAGGTATGTTTGAGACTGGATTGTTCTCTCGAGCATCTCATGGGATCCTACACACTGTAGAATGAAGCCCTAGTCGTTATACACAGTGTAAGCAAGCGACATGGCGGCGACAACGCAGCTCGTGGCTCCAAGCACGACTTCCCAGCTCCTCCAGATTGCTCTCGTAATCAAGATCGTGGCAATCAGCACTACTACGACCAACGAGGATGCTCGCGAGTAGTTCCATTGCTCTTCAACATAAAGACCTCTCAACACTTTGAACCTCCGGTTCTTCTCGCTCCTGAATCTGATAGCGCTAAGGGCTTTGTCAGAATAGAAACATCGTTTGTTGTTTACCCTCGGGACTGCTTACCGGTATGGATAGACAAAATTACCCACGATCGGACTCGATAGTATAGTCTGACCTTTGGCGGCATCGGGATATAGAAAGTAGCACGTCAGAAATGCCAGTGTATAAAACCAATCGACAGCCAATCTCATCATGTCGAATTCCTCGATAGTCCACCAGCGGCACGCCAGTTACATTACTTTGACTGGCTTTATCGAAGAGACTGTGCGCAGCTTGAGATACTTTGCCCAGCTATTACCACACTTCTGGAAAGTCCCTCTCAGGTCCCAGAATATCTCATCCTCGGATATGGCGTTTGTTCCTACTCCTCTGATGCGTACATCAGTTGCCATTATGATTGAAGCTTTCGAGTCCCAAAGTAGAAACACACAACCGACATCTTGATCGTACTGTAAAGCGTGAGTCTCGAAGTGTTTCTCGAAAGAGCCTTCTATATCTCGTCCATCTGACGTGCTTGAATATTCCATTTGATTCCAGCAATCGTTGTATGCAACACTCCGAGAGGTGTCTCTTCGCCGCTTGGGAGGGATACTGTGCAGTCGGGCTGGATTATGGGGACAGTCACGGATATGTGCAATTTCCGGAGGCGGTGGAGGTGTCAAAGTCATCGAGATCATGCTTTGTCTCTTATGTAGACAAACGGACAGAAGTTTATGAGGACAGACCTCACGAGGTACTTATAAAAAGTGGTGATTGGGATCATTTCGTCGTGCCACGTTGTTGTCCTGGTGAGGGTGCTACTCGGTCAGAGGCCACCAATGATGGGTGCGAAGTACGCGCTTCACGTTCAGCTGAGACATACGCGCTTGACTGGGCTGCGGGGCATGAAGGGCAACATTGATAGGAGGAAAAAACGTTCTCTGGTGCTCGAAATTATGGTCATCGAAGCAAGAGAGATGATAACACGAGTAAGAACGATTCGAAGAGGGGACTGCGCCGGTATTCAAATGCGTTTTGATGAGCCTCTGGGTGTCAAGCAAGCTGAGGCATCATGCGGTGCTGCCGCTAGCTCGATGTCTGTCTTACGACAAGCCAGATGGATTAGATGCGTGTAAGACCAGGTGACTTGGGAGCCGCGGCAACGGCAATCGAGCATAGTTGAGCTGTATTGGAAACTCGACGAGCTGTCGACATGCAAAAACGGCAAAAAGAAGCACTGGGAGTAGACGCGTAGTAGGCGCTGCAGATTGATCAGGGTTATACTTTTTACATATAGCATTTTTGGCACGTACGGCCACAGTCAGCTGAAAACTGGGCATCCCGTCCGCTCTGCCATACATAAGCAGTTGAACGGCAGATTAGTACTACGGTGGGTGACCACGTGGGAATCCCTGCTGCTGTACGTTTTGCATCTGTTTTGCATCCTCCTCTCCCANTTCTTTCTTCTCCTCTCGACACCCCTCTCGTCTTTTTGCATCTCTATAGCATTCGGCTTCTTATAATGTTCGGTCAAGCGGCGTGCTTGCAGGAGGAGGAGCAGTCGAGGAGGTCGAGATCAAGCCTCGAAAGCGGGGATCCAGAACTCTGTTTTGCTCTCCAGCCTCATCCTTGCACCTTGATGTCTAGAGTAGCCGCAACCACATGCGGGGTATGTGTAGAGCAGCGAGCTGAGCAAATGCACTTCTGAGATCAGAGACATATAAAAAGGTTCCCCCTGGGCTGGAGCAATCTAAGTTCGCAACTGTTGGATCCTATACGATACAATTGTTTATAGTCATCGAACCTCTGCTGTCGTGTTTGAGGATGCTTTCATCGTTTTCTGCTGTTGCACTTTCTCTGCTTTCTCTGTCTTCGTTCAGTTACGCGACCTCCATCTGCAACATGTCTGGCAATTTGACGAGCACCAATGGAATAGGCAGTACACCTGTACAGGTAAAATTTCCCCTCAATTCTCATCAATTGCAATCTTTGACACTCNNTCTACAGCGCCATTACATTTCATCCGACCAAGCCTCCGCCATCGTAGCCGCAGCAGCAAAATCCGCATCCACCATCGTACCCCAAAACATCGCCATTGTAGATCCTTCTGGCTTGCTAGTCGCTTTCCTGCGCATGGACAATGCATACCCCGGCAGCATCGACATTAGCATCAAGAAAGCGAGGACTTCAGTGTTGTTCAACGGCATCCCTTCTGCTGCACTCTACAACCAGAGTCAGCCTGGTGCAGCTTTGTACGGGATTGAAGAAACCAATGGAGGATTGGTGATCTTCGGGGGTGGATTACCGTTGGTCAAGGATAATTATCTGATTGGAGCTATCGGAGTGAGTGGAGGCACTGTTGCGCAGGACGAAGAGGTCGCACAGGCTGGTGTGAATTGGTTGATAAACTCGTGATGCGATCTTGGTGTGAAAAGGGAAGGCTTGCCGGTTTGAGAGGAGGTGATTGAGACTGTATTTATTTGTTCTTCTTCTCTGTACTCGAGACGGGAGTTTGTGTCATAGCCAGATCGAGAAGCTGTAGCAGGCCGCTTGCAATAGCTAGTATCACAACTATAAGATCAACAATATGTATCGCCCACCAAATGTGCTGTTTGCCAAGTGCACAAGTGGCATACTCGAACTTCCATATGCGTTCATCGACATCGAACCATGCAGAAAGAAGGCCGGCGTTTCCGCCGTAGTCACNCATCATGCTACGGACGGTAACCTCTCGTATACCGTTCGCGGTCGTGTTGGATGCAGAAAATCTAGCCGAGTTCCACTGTCCCTGGTCGGCCTCGCTGCGATCATGCCATGTGTCACAACCCTCGTGGTCATGACCGTTAAGCACAATACCTGCACGATTGTTTCTGAACAAACCGTTCAGTACTTTTTCGCTGGATCCTCGACTAAGGTGGTTCTGTTCGCGGATGCCACCGCCGTGATGGGGCTCAAAGTAGCTGAAGAAGGNGGGATCAACACAAACACCAGCTGGCTTGTAAANAGGTACATGTGTGAGCAGGATGACAGCATCCTGGGAGTCACGATTGTTTGTGTCGTCGATTACACTGTCCAGATAATCGTGTGTTACGCGATGGAGGTCTTGGTTCCAAGCAGGATTGTCCAAGTTCATGGAGTTGAGATTTACAAGGTGCAGTTCGGTGGTCAGGTTCGACGACAGGTCTGAGAAGGGTATCCTGACGCGCCAGTTGACTTCGCCAAAGGCACGTTCGAAGCGAGTGATGCGCTGGTGGTCAATATCACCAGCGTATCCAATGTCATGATTCCCAGCCACGTTGAGCAGGGCAGGTGTCTTGCTAGCGTCCATGTTGTCCACAAAATCCCATTCGGGTATGTCTCCGAGCTCTTCCTCATGGGTGCCGTGTCTCCACGCATGGGCATCGACAAAGACTCTACTCCAGAATCTGTCGGCTCTTCGATCGAACTCGTCGTTGTTGATCCATTGGCTGCCGAGTAGATCGCCGAGTACGGAGACGTGGGTTGGCTGGGTCCACCATTTGGTCGTGCGGTAGATGTGTGCGAGGTAGTAGTCGTTACCCCGGAGATCTAGCCTCTTTCGTTGCGTGTGTAAGGAGCGTGGGATATCACTTATGACAATATCCTTGACTGTTCGTTTCAGGGTGCGTGCTGCGGCATCGAGTGGCTCGGTCCACAAACGGTGACGAAGGCCTATGAGCCCAGGGAACAGAGGGACATTAGGATCGGGCAGAGACGTGTCTCCTTCCAGTTGCGGGTCGCCGAGAGCGAGCAGTCGGAAGGGTGCTATGCCATTGGGTTGACGAGGTGGGAAGCGACAGTTTTGAGCGACAGGATATAGATAGAGCCAGAGTGTCGACAGGACGGCAGGTACGATCAAGGCGAGGAAGGCGCTACGCACCACGCCCGAGAGCCACATTGAGACTGCATTGTTGATGTTGACGGTCGTGAAGCGAGTCGTGCCTTCCCAAGAAATTGCTTCGGACTTTGCGCTTGCCAATCTCCGCCAGTCAGCTTCGTCCCATCCCAACTCGACGACTCTTTCCTCAAGACATATCAAAACATTGTTGTGCACCTCGGGACAATGGATTAATGAATCTCTGTCACGGTGCTCTCAGGCAAATCGATGAGCCTATGGTAAAGCACTCGTTGAACATGCCCTTGTGAGGAGCACATGTAGCCGCTGCTTCACCCACGTGCACGCCGCGAGTGGCTCTCGTTCAATGGCAGAGTTACTCTCAACGGGACGTATGGGCAAGACTCATATCCGGCTGTACGATCATAGATCGTGGGAACATTGATGCTTCACTATTCTCGGACACGATGCGCTTCATAGTGAAAGCACAGCCATGTGCTTGTATGTATCGATAGAGGTGTCAGCGAAGGCGTGCCAATAGATTTTCTCATGTTAAACAGCGCCATGCAAGGACTCCGTTGCATTGATTCATGCAAAACGGCACTTCGATTCTCCAACACCTTTCCTATCACCACTCCATCTTCTGATCTTGCAACGAGTATGCTTTTCAACACGAAAATACCTGAATTTGAGAGCTTGATACACAAAGGCACCATTCGCAGACCTGTCAACGGCTGGTAGATGAGGCGCGACTACACCCAATGCGAGCTCAACACCTTGAGACGTCTGGAGTCGGACGCAAGCAAAGCAATCGGACGCAAGTTGTCGAACACAGAGCGAGATACCTTGCTCGAGTACAAAGGCAAAGCAATCGCATCCGACACGCGAACGAACGCTATAATAGTCGCAGTCGGTACCCTCAGCGGATTGGCCACCACAAGTTTTGGGCTTGAACCACGATATCATTGGAATCATGGCCACGATGTCTATTGGTTCTGGCTTCTGTTCTTGCGTAACAGTGCCAGTACTGCGATTGATTTAGGCCTTGTCATTTCCAAACCCTCATGATTGAAGGAGAGCCGGTCTATACCAGTCAAAGTCCTCAGCAATCCTCGAATGAGTGGATTTGAAGAGTGCATTCAACAGAGAAAGAAAGAGTTTGGCGGGCACAAACTATGTCTTGTTAGAGGAAATTATCTCTCATTGAACCACGGGTCCAATGGTTCAGACCTGATCGAAGGAACCGGGAGGAGCGGCCGCCCGAGATAGATCATCCCGAACTTGGATGGTATCCCCAGAGGTCAAAACCTGTCGGTGGGATACGATCATTATAAAGAGCCCGAGAGACTGGTCACCACAGAGCGATGTAAATCGATCACGAGCCAATACGGTTGCGAGCGAGAAGCGAACCAAGACCCTCTTCACTGACGTTCTCGGAATTTGTGACAACCCGCAGGCACCAGCATCGTCTGTTTTCTGGTACGAGGGGACCCTGGAGCTTATATTTTAGTCGATCAGGATGTGACAGTTTATCGGTGGCGATCTGCAATGGAAAAATAGAGTTCTGATACCAAGTGGTTATATCATTTCTCGATCGCAGCTTCCCATTGCTATCATTGTTGGCCAATATGATCAATAAACAATAAAGCAGCCGTAGGTCGATGGTTCCCTTTCCGTTGGTCATCAGATCCATATTACTTCTGACTGTATGGTAGCGACTGTACGGTGTCAGCTCACAATTCAAAAGCGATAGCTGGTTAAATGAATAGTAGACAGTGAGCTAATTAAGGATAGTTACGTTGTTGATCAATCTTCCCTACTTTGCAGGAACAGGAAAAGCCTCGACACTACTCAACGTAGGCACAACAGCATTCATCAGCCCTGTCTTCGCATTAAAGGTAACGTTGTCAATCGTCACCTCTCTATGAGTACCATTGCCGCCTGGAATAGCGAAACGGTGATAGGCCATGTACCACTTGTCTGTCCCGGGCACATTAATGATCGAATCATGTCCAGTAGCCAAAATTCCCTGACTGACATCTTTCTGCAACACAATACCATGATAGGTATACTTGCCAGTAAGGGAAGTGGAAGTTGCATAGCCCACACGGTAATTCTCGGAACCTGTATCGTCGATGGAGTAGGTGATGTGATAGAGACCCTTACGGTAATTGATGAAGAGACCTTCACGGAAGTCCACCAGACCAGTGATGTTTTGTGCTGTGGACCAGTTTATCGAAGTCATGTTGTCGTTCAACTCGGCAAGGAGTGGGCTGCCGTTGCCCCAGAGAAGGTAGTATTTGCCGCTCACGGGATCCAAGAAGGCATCAGAATCAATCGCTTGACCCGTGGTGAGACGCTCGTTGTTCAAGATCATGGCGGTAGGTTCTGCGATGAAGGGACCGGTGGGTGAGTGTGCGATCGCGACGCCAATGGTTTTTCTGTCGTAGGTTGGATTCTGCCCGCTAAAGTAGAAGTAGTATCTACCACATCGTTCGATGATGGTGGGAGCCCAAGCGTTACCAGTTGCCCATGGAACATTGCCGTTGGTACCATTGAGGGTAAGGAATGGCTTCTCGCTGCGAGTCCAGTTTACTAAGTTTGGCGAGCTCCATGCATAGAAAACTTGACCACCCCAACCAGGGAAGCCATCGGTGGTTGCATAGATGTAGTAGATCTTGTTAAATACAGCAATGTTGGGATCAGCAAAGTAGCCCTTGAGTACTGGTGAGCCTGCAGTTACACGGCGAGCGATCGATGAAGTTTTGGCAGTGTCAGCGGCTGTCAGGTCGGCAAGCTCAGCAGCAGTGATGGGCAGGACAGTTCCGTGTCTAGGGCTTGGAGGCAGCTTGTATGAAGCTGGGACTGTCCAGTTGGGGCTTGCGATGTTCTTGGTCTGGAGTGGAATGTAGCCACGACCACCATATTCGTCGACAAACAAGTAGAAGTTATCTCCATTGACATCTCCAGGGTTCGACTTGAACGCGGTTGGGCCCTCAACGCCCTGAGTACCCGCCTNTTTACCAATGCAACTATCGACCAGAGACCAAGAGTCGGCAGTCGCTCTGAGTGAAGTGGACTTCTCTTCGATAATGTCGGTACATCCAGTCTCACCAGCACCTTCGTCCTTCGTGAAGCGATAATAGGTGTCACCCTCCTTTATGACAGTGGAGTCGATGCGTGACATACCGACGTCTTGCCAAATCTGCGGCTCGGTGAACGTGACAAAGTCTCGTGTAGTGGCATACAGCATGCGGTGGTAAGTCGCTCCCACACGATCAACATCCGAAGAGTTGTAGAGCGAGGAAGCCCAGAAGACAACATAAGCTCCGATGGCTCCATCGTAGTAAGCCTCGGGAGCCCAAGTGTTTCCAGCTTCCGCAGGCGAAACCAAGACATGGCGCTGTTCAGACCATGTCTTGAGGTCGTGAGATTCCCAGACCTCGAGGTAGCGACTTCCAAACTTGACAGAGTCGCCCCATGAGGTTCCGGAACCAATCGAGAGATCAGTTGCGATGAGATAGAAGGTATCGCCCTCGTGGGAGCGAATAATGAATGGATCGCGAAGTCCCTTTGTGCCGAAGGTCGACTTGAGAACCGGCTGTGCACCGTTGAGCTCTTGCCATGACAGAGCGTCGTTGCCATTACTGGCCGCGAAGTAGATGTTTTCGCCGGACAGAGAGTTGTTGGTGAAGTATGCAAATGCATAGCCCTCGAAAGCACCGATATTGACTGCCTGGCGAACCGAAGCGGAGAACTGTCGGCTGGCTAGTGATCCGTTGCAGTCGATGGTGGCAGTCAACTGAACTTGTGTTGTGGTATCTTGTCTTTGGACGACGCCGCTGTTCGAGATGATAGACTCGTCGCTACTATTCCAAGTGACATCCGTGCCAATTGTGGTAGTAGCAACCAGGTTCAAGTTGCCGCGAACATCATCGAGATTTGTGACAGTCAAGGACTCGAGGTCTGTTGAACAAGTATTGTCTTGAGCACTGGCTACCCAGGCCAGAGCCGAGGTTGCTAGAAGATGTAAAGAACGCATGGTGCAGAGGATGAGAGGGTAGCCGTGGAAGCATGAGGGGCAATGTGTGGGCACTTTATAGTATAACAACTTGCTTTAGATGAACACGAGGATTACCATATCATCATGCATGGCTGTTGATCACCTGGGGATTCACGGATGAAAGCACACCGAAGGGTTGACGCCAAGTCGAGTATCGTGGAGTGTTACATGGAGAAGTTGCGGAGGGGATGCTTGGCTTCGGGAGGCAGGTTAAATTGTCTGACATGCGTCACTGTCGAGCAGGACTCTTCAGCCGGACGCGTCCAAAAGTTGTTCATCGCGTGAAGATCTCTGCTGCGCAGTCCTTGGCATGGCCGGCGGGTTCTGAAGCATCAACGACAACATGAAGAAGTCACGAGCAAGTCACGAAGTGGATAGGGAGTCAAATCTGGCCAAGAGTTCCTCGGGCAATCCAGCCGGGCAAACTTCGGACTCTGAGCCTTCCAAACTGGTCAACCTTGCTGGAACTCGACTTAAAGGGTCATCAAGGATAGGACGATATGTTTCCTGGACAGTACTGCGCCATCTACCAATCACCAGTGAATTTCCGATACCAAGCATCCGCTGTCCTCCTGATCGCGGCGTGTCTGATGAGCAAAGCAGCGACGGTCGACTATGCGACAACTATGGCAAGGCATACATGTTATTACCGACAAACGCGATCTTCGAATTATCAGTACGGAGCGTAGCTTCCAGTAAACATCCTCTACCTGGCATACTCATGCAGCTAGTCCATCCACATCCGAATCCTACTGCAATCGGCATGACCTTCCTTCCAAGACTTCACATCACCAATTGTAGAACGAAGTATGGTCGTATGAACTTGAAGAACTTCATGTTGGTCTGTCCATCTACACAAACTCTTTTCAACATGCCGATATCCTCCAGACCCCAAATCGACCAGCGATAAGAGCTCAAGTAAGTTTGCTGTTGACAAACTTGAGAGCGGCCTGACCGTACTCTTGGCCATAACCTTGGTGAACATTCGCATTGTTTCCGTTCGAGCAGTACGGATCCGCAGAGTCACAATAAGACTGGATTCTGCTTGCGTATGCAGAGCAAGTGAAGCCCGAAGGTCTTGGATCGAANNCTATGTAATTGATCAGTAAAACACCTGGCAGACTATGGCAAAACAAACTTACTCCTGGGTTCTTTGCGGTACCGACAGAGTAGGGACCGCCAGGGATGTTTCTTGGGTCTCCCATAAAGATGATCGCCTTGACTTTGCTTCCGACTGCAGACGAGATTGGAGCAGCAGTGCTGGAAATTCCTTGATTGGGATCACCACCTCCACAAAGCGCATCGTCACCAATCTGAGCACCCTGAGAGTATCCAACGTAAACCAGCTGCGTGTTGGGACAAGAAGCAGCGAAAGCGTTGATCTGATTGGTGACAGCTTGCACGCCAGCCTGCACGGAAGAGGCATAGCTGTTACCTCCAGCAGCTGGATAGTTGATGACTTCGGCAGTGGACCCGGGATGTGCGTTGAGGATGAGGTTGACGACTGTGCCGGCTGAGCCATAACCAGCAGGTGCGGTGGTCTCGCGAGCACCGAAGATGTGGATGTTGGGACAGGCGCGCTTCTCAAGAGGAGCAGCCATGGAGGTTCCGAAGAGGAGGAAAGGGATAGCGGCAACGGCGGACTTCATGTTGATATTCTGGTAGGTTGAAGACAAGGTGAATATGAGAGTTGGAGGGCTTGCATGGATTGCGAACGCTGTCGGTCTACTTATACCATGTTCACATCGCAGCAATGGCTACATAGCCTGCTCGGTCAGGTGGATCTTTTGGACGTTGTGCTACGCTGACCAGCCCCAGATGCCAGATCTTTAGGCAAAATCACTCAACTCCAGGCAGAAAACACATGATTGACGTGGGGACTACGCTTGACGAACTATGCTTATAGGTCGACAATGCTTAGCGATGTTTCAGGTTCGTTTCATGCAGCGGCATCCTCCCGTCCGAAGCTTATTCCATCACCCTACCACGACTGCACGCAATGGCTCTCGTGCTTTTCGCCTTGCCTGGACCTAAGGGATAGCTCAAACAGATGCTTATGGCTGGCTGCGGTAGATTAGCTATTCGAAGCCCGGCTTAGAGTATCTGCACGTCGACTCCCTTGGCATTGAGGATTCTTTGAGTTATGTGTTCGTTATGCGGACTCAACAGTATAGGACCGGAACTGACCTGAGCCTTGAGTGACAAAGCTTGGAAATGCTTGCTCGCTTGCAAAATGTCCGCATAGCTCTAGCTGGCGTCCGCCACGTGTACAGTCGCTACCCACTCCACCAGTAAATCGCCTACACAAGGTAGGGGCAAAGCTTTCCGCGATGGCTTGATACTGAACAGAATTCGGGTGCAATGAGTCACCCAAACATACTACTTATGCAGCATACTCTGTTTCCCGAGGAAGTTACTGTTTGTGAAGTATTAACATATGACGATACTATGTCCAGCTGAGTTGTTGTAGGACAATCCAACTCTCAACCCTCGCTTGGTGCATGTAGAAGATATGCAGCGAAGAGAGAAACGAAGGATGCGGGCAGGAGAGTCGCGAAAACTATCGACTGCTTGCTGAACATGATTTGCGGCAAGACAGGTACTGCGTGCCTCAAGCTCCAAGGCCCTAGAGGAGATCATGTGGTATACGAGAGGGAAGCATTGTAGGTACGACCTAACGTCAAAGCTGGAGATAGCCTCTGAGACACGTTCAGGCTAAATATGTTGGCCCCACGGGAAACGGGTATAGCAAGTTTGATGATGCAGTCAACGTGGAAAGCCCTAATCGCGGGGTAATGGTATACAGGCACGGTGCAGGAACAGGAATCTCGACAGAAGATCTGCAGACTAACGAGCTTCGCGTCAATTATGTTCACTCCGGCTAAATCCGGTTATAGCATGGCTTGAGGGGATTGAAATTATGGTAAAGTGAACAAACTTGTGGCCTGGAGCTACGGAAACTGGTTCTGGAGGAAAGGAGTGGTCGAAGAAGATGTAAGCGATCGAAATGCAGATTTGTAGATTGGCTGGAGGCTCAGCAACTACTCTCAGTGTAAATTTGGGGTAGACCAGTCTACCCATTGTGCATCATCGAATGTGATATTGCCAGCTGGGATAAAGAAATCGGTGTCCGAGGCTTTGTCAAAGAGGAATTTGTCGACAAAGGCTTGAAGCTGAGGCATCTGATACGATGGAAAAGAGCAATGGAGGTGATTAGGAGACATTGAATATCCTAGGTGATCAGGTGTACCGAGGGCCTGATAGATTCTGCGAGCGGTCTTCATGCAGCCGAAAGAGCTCCAAGGTCCGAGCCATTCATAGCCGATATTGTCGATGACTAGAAGACCTCTTGGAGCAACCAGTCCTGCCAACATGTGGTGGTCGAATGGGAGCATGTCAACAGTAGTGTTCGCAAACTCATCGAACTGCGTCGCGAACCAGACATTTTCCTGTACAATCTCAGATGCGGTTTGTGTTGTGCCATTGTGATTTTCGTAGTCACTGAGACGCCAGCAGGCAGTTCCACCAGAGCCACTCTCCTGAGGGATGGTGAGAGCTATGCGACTGTCAAGTGCACCCGCGACCAATGCCCCTTTTCCGTTTCTCGAACAACCAGTGACGGCGACTTTGTTCGGATTAATGTTGACGTCAGGCAAGGCATTCAGAACATCGAGAATGCGGCTTACGCCCCATGCCCAAGCTGTCATGGCACCATCATTCATGTATTCAGGATAGAGACTGAAGAACTTCCCTTGACCACGACTACTTTGGTTGATCTGTGCACCAATATCGTCATTGTTGTATGTGATGATAGCCACGCCAGAAGGGGCAGGAATGCTGAGGCTACCGAACGCGATAATGGCTGGGTAGGGAGCAGTTCCATTTGAAGGGTAAGTAATCGTAGGAGTAAAAGAGATCGTTTTGTCATGCACAGAAACTGTCACCGTCAAATTCGATCCAGAGATGGAACCATATACAGCATCTGGCTTTCCTGGTTTGATGCCCAGCTCCAGAGCCTGAAAGAGGTCGCTGACTTCGCGTTGGCGACATGCAAAGTCTGAAAGCGTCTTGACCGGTCTACCGTTAGCGAATCTGAAAGGGTCCGGCAGCTTTGGGTCATATCGAGTCGCATTGTTGGGAGTCTTTGGACATCTGTTTGGTTTGTTGGTATAGCCTAGTGCCAGTCAGCAGAGGAAACCTGTAGGATCGGGACAGCTAAGACCTCCGAATGGACTACCCAGAGCAGTTGGTATCAGGCAAATCAACGTCGATATAGTGAGTCTCATCGCGAAGTTGATCAAGAAAAGGCGCGGGTTTCGCTTGGTTGATGAGTAGGATCAATGTGGCTCTGTATTTGTAGAACCGCAATGGATTCTCGAGTGTGCAGCCCGCTCCAGTATTTGTATCCAAGTCATGACGGCTCACTTCGTTTGTACATGCAGAGGACGCAAGAAAACAACAACTGGCCCTCCCATGGTATTCTAGTATGGTTCCAGATTAGCCATGAAAGAACAACAAGACTTCGAGAGGATAATGGCTCTATGAGCTGGTTGCTGGAAGATGTTTCTCCGTCTTCAGGTTTGCCGTCATGCATGTATACTCGCAATGCGGAGATGAATAGGCAAAATGAGTGTAAGTGGGGTCGTTCGGATCATGGAAGGGTCTCTGGTGGGGCAGAATGGACGTGATGTACATGCCGAATACCTAACAATCAGGTATGACATCCAAGCCTGACTTCTGCTCAGCGTTGTCGAAGAACACTGGTCGTAAAGGGAAGTCTCAAAGATGCCAACTGCTTTGCTTGTAACCCAAGCTTGCCAGAAAAGCGCGAGCCGGATGTTTGGCAAGGCGGGTCATCTCCCACCAATCTGTAGCTGCGCCCCTCACAGTTGACTTTCTTTGCAACAGGGAAGTCCGTCCACTACTCAAGCATATCCATGCGCCGACAAGCTGTGGGTCAAACTAGGGAATGGGCATGTCAATCGTGAGCTGCGTTACGATACCGCCTATGACGATTGACTCAAGATTGTTCATGCCTTCGAGTCAACCTTCGAGTCGACCTTCATCAAGAACCTCCCATCATCCGCCTTGACCAAATCAGCACCCTTCTCTCCAACCGCATAAGCGCTGGCCATGATGTTTCCCGACACATGCGTCGGGAAAACCGACGCATCAACAACACGCAAATTCTCAACACCCTTGACCTTCAATTTATCGTCCACAACCTCGCCCATAGTGCACGTGCCAATCAGATGGTACTGCGTCGAGATATGGTTCCTCACATACTCAACTCTCTCTTCCTCAGTCTCGATACTCACACCCTGAGGTGGCAGAATGCGATCGCCGAGCGACTTTTTAAGAACGGGTTGATTGGCGACTTTGTCCATCCATTTGATTCCCTCGGCGAGGATCTTGGCATCGGCGCCGTTCTTGAGGTAGCCTGGGTCGATGCGAGGGTGTTGTGTTGGATCGGGAGAAGTGATGTGTATGCTTCCGCGCGATAGCGGATGTTCCAAGCAAACGAGAAGGGAGATGCGGGTTTTACCTTCAGNGGGTGCGCTGAAGAATCTGACTTGACTGTCTCCTTGGCTTACGTCCAATCCAGCGCCGATGCCTGTCGTAGAAATCAGTAATGGTTGCTCGAGAATGGAAGAGTGTGACTAACAGAAAGTCTGGATGTTTGCAAACTTGGGGTCACTCAGCTGCGAGATGATAGTCTCCTCTTGACGCTTTTCGAAGTCCGTCTTCGCATGCGAGTTCTTGCGGATCTCGGCAATGGTATCATCCAACACTTCTTTGCTGACCAGAGAAGCGTATGACACGAAGCCCATTAGCATGCCAGGACTACCGTAGGGTCCTTCGCCAGTCTCTTCGTAGACTTTCTCCATGGCCTTCTGGTATTCCGAGTCGTGAAGGGAGTCCAGAGACTTCAAGCCGTCCTTCAGATCGTACATCATGCCACCAAGGACATGGTCTTGGAAGTTGCATCCTACACGCTTGTTTTCGACGAGGCATTCCACTCCAGCTGCCTTCAATACCTCAGGATCGCCAATACCCGAGAGCTCAAGAAGTTGCGGGCTGTTAACCGTACCGCCAGACAGGATGACTTCTCTGCTTGCGTCAACGGTGTGTTTCTGACTGCCATGCGAGAACTCGACACCCGTCACAGTATTACCGTCAAGCAAGACTCTGGTTGCCAATGCCTCAGTCAAGACTTTGAGATTCGGCCGGGAAAGATTTGGTCGCAGGTATCCTGTGGCGGCATAGCTTCGTCTTCCTTTGTCGCTGGTTCGGTCGACAGCCGCAAGAGAACTGTAGAAGCCGAAGTGGTCTTCCATGGGAAGACAACGTCAGTACGCGCAACAGACATGTTCAGATGGTATTGACTCACCGCCAGACCACGCGTCGACCAGAGAACTTTNTTCTCCACCGACTTCGTAGGCAGCCTTGCAGAAGTCTTCCTCGAACGGCTGTATCGTTGTGAGCAACCGATTCCAGTCATGCAGATTCTCGTATTGGAGCCTTACCTCCCAGTAGTCATTGAAAGATGTATGGATCGGTCCGTTGGTACCATGGTACTCATCCTTGGCTGCAATTGGCATGAACTGCTTGTTCGGGTGTTCTTTCGGCGGCGGATCATATGTCTGGCTCTTCTTAAAGTAAGGAGCAAGACCTANCCAAGCAGTCAGCGATGTCGAGTGCAGCTGAATAGCCTCATGCATACCTTCCCAGCCCCAGCCTTTATTGCCCAACGACTCCCTGCGCACTCAATGAGTTCAGAATCAACAATTCTCACACCGCAGCAAAACTCACCAAGCAGCATAATCTTCTTTCGACCCTCTCACATACATGAGATAGTTGATCGCACTAGATCCACCCAATACCTTTCCCCTAGGTTGCGACATTGTTTTACCTCCACACCCAGCTTGCGGCACACTCTCATAACACCAGTCATACTTCTCGCGTCCAATCAAGGTAGGGTAAAGACTCGGTGTGTAGACTTGAGGGTCGTCCATTCGGTTTGCACCCGCCTCGAGGACGCCGACATTCACGTCTGGATTCTCGGTCAGGCGAGCGGCGACGCAGAGACCTGCGGTACCACCGCCAATGACGAGGTAGTCATACTCTTGCTTGAGGAATTCGTCCAGGGAGCAGAGGGCTGAAGCATTGCGACCATCGGAACTAGCGGTCGCGCTAGGCATGATGGCAGATGGAACTGGTGATAAGTATCTGCAAAGCTTGGAGTGTTGTATCTTGAGTATCATTGAGGAGCCGTAGCTCTTTTGTAATGTAGCGGTTGTCCGGTCTAAAGGGAGCCGCACTGTATGCTGAATATTGATGGCCGAGTTCCCTCACTAAGGTACGGAACTTACTCCTATGTACACGGTACTTTTCTGCACCCCGCATAAGATCTGCAAAACTACCCCACGTCTATAGACGTACTGCCGATTAGTCAAGTCAAGTCAGCAGACAGGTGACCATCAGAATCGAGGCAATCGGAAGTAGCGGTTGATGCGAATATTCTTGACGTCCCATAGCAGAGACGCAATTCTTGTAATCACGCCTTGCCTCATCACAATTCATTTCGTGGAAGTTGTGACTGAGGTTGACGATCACGTTCTTCGAAGATCGAACGGTTGACAGATGTCTCAAACACTCGGACTGTGTTGATCCACAAGAGCTAGCATGCGAGGTAGAAGGTCCATGACACGGAAAGGTTTCGTCTGCACATAACATCAGCAGGGTGGCATACAAGTCATTGAAGTCTTTCACTTACCACAACCTCATCCATACCAGCATCAATACAGGCTGCAATCTGCTCAGCACGGGCATTTGCTGTGATACCAATAATTGGGACATGACATATGACTTCTCCCGATCTTTCAAGTTGGCGAATGCGTCGCACGCATGTCAAACCGTCCATTACAGGCATTTCTACGTCCAGAAGAATAATAGATAGAGGCGTCTGTTGTATGCCAGTGGACTTGTAGAAGGTGGTGGTCGACAATATTTCGAGAGCGTCAAGACCATGATCAGCGACATGGACTTTGGCGCAACCTGTCTTGCGAAGCTGCTGAGCAAGAATTTTTGATTGATGGCGTTGTCCTCAACCACTTTTGTTCGTCAATTGTGATACAGCGTTTTGGATAATTGTACTCACGTAGAACGTGAAGGTCCGGCGCTTGCACCTTTTGCGCAGCTGGACCATCTACAACTCGCAAATGATCCTTGATGGACGTTTGAGCGAGTTGTACAGAAAGTGGCTCAAGAGGTGACTCAATCCGAGCAGTCTCGACAAAGAAGGCGAACGTAGAACCTTCTCCTGGAACGCTGCTCACACCGATTTGACCGCCTTGCAGTTCCACAAGCTCACGACTGATAAATAGACCCAGCCCGCTACCTCCATACTATGCGGTCAAATAATCAGTGATGTGTTTTTCCATCAAGAAGAGTTTCACTAACTTGTTTGTACGTCTTTGGTGAAGCTTGACTGAATCTGTGGAAGAGATGGCCCATCTCGGTTGCTGTCAACCCGCAGCCAGTATCCTGGACACTGAAGATCAGATAGACATCTTCACCAATTGGATCATCGGTTATTGACATTTGTCTTGCTGCCCTCTGAAGTTTGTCTGTACGAGGCTCTACAAGCGTAACCTGACAGTCATCGGCGGTTGGCCTTGTCCGTGATGCAGCGAGGCCAATTGTGATATGTCGCTTGTCTGAGTTCTTGGTGGACTTGATAGCATCTGCATGACGCCGTCAGTACTCGTGGCGGCCCTCGTTGATAGAAACTACTTACTAGTCATCAAGTTGAGAATAACTTGTGAAAGTCTCCCCGGGTCAAGTAGAACGTTGTCAATCGCAAGATCAATAAAGCTCTGCTGAATTTTCATCGAGCCTTGAATGTGGTCGTAGTCGAGTTCGGCTTTGACCATTCTTAGTACTGTTTGCACTGTTTCGGATGGCCGGACCTTCTCGGGTGCAAGAACCAAGAGATTGGAGTCCAGTCGACTGAACGTCAATATCTCTTCGACAATGACCTTTTGGTGATTGGCGCATAGTTGGATGCTCGCTGCAATATCGACAAGCGTGTGTCGTGAATCAGGTGTCAGCATAGTAGCTTGGGCGCTATCAGACACCGGAGGCAGCGAAGTTAGGATGCCATCAGCGAGTAACAAGATAGCCCCCAAAGGATTGCGCATTTCGTGTGATACCCTGTCAAAAATTAGCCGACGGGACAGCCACCTTGCTCATGTCACTTTCATACATGTCGATAAAGATTTCTGATCTCCTCTTTGTCTCTAATGCGTCCTGCAACTTTTGCTCGGCCAACTGTTTGCCGCTGGATATGTCTCTGAGCCAAACATACAGATGCTCCAAGTTACCCTCTCTATCAAGTCGTTGCTGAGCACTGATTTCAAGCCAGCGAACCTCGCCTTGCGGCCTTTGTGCTTTGACGCGGAACTCGGCACTCACAGCTATTCCTTTCTCGATTGCAGATCTCCAGATTCGGTTGACCATCTCCCAGTCTTCGTCGTGTACGGCGTCTCGCCAGGCTAGCCCAACTTCAGAAGCCTTGTAGAACTGGGCTTTAGTCATGTCGAGCAGCTCGAGACATACGTCGTTGACATATACACAGTGACCATCGTCTCGATGCATGCACATACCGATGGGTGCATCGCGCAACATTCTGGTGAAATTTTGTTCGCTTTCCTGGGCCTTGATAGTCATGGTCTCCAACTGCCGAGTGAGAGCTCGAGAAATCTCACGGGACTCTCGCTGCTCCATGGGAAGCGAGAAGAGTGCAGCCGATTTGAAAAGCATGTCACGGATAGATTCTGCAAATTGGCGAATGCTTGGATTTATGGCTCTTCTTGGGTTGAGGCCTAGCACCACGATAGCGCGGATGTGTACGCCGTCCAGAGCCACAATGGGCAAGACGTAAGCGGTGTCGACGATGCCAACGTCAGATACGGATGCTGTCAAATCCGGCGGAAGTGAATTTTTGCTCAGCTGAAGGACGAAGACCTCGGTGTGGGAAGCTTTCAGGGCTTCAACAATGCTAGATGACGGATGCTTCTGCAAATGGTCAATGTTGCAGGAAGCCTCGAGCTGGAACGTGCCTGCATGCTGTTCACCCAAGCTCTCAGTCGCCGTATACACGACTGCATAAGACAGATCGCGAGAACTTGACTTGAGGGTATGCACAAAGGTTTGCCAGAGATGGTGTAGATCGGTAGCTTTCGAGAAAGACTGCAACAAAGATCTAGAGACTTCTTGGCGGTTTCTCTGCAGGACTTTTCAGTAATCTCGGTGAACTCAGCAAGGACGCCCAGATAATGGCCATCAGGTGAGGGAACTGGAAGAAAGACAAGATCGAAAAAGCAGCTTTCGGGAAAGCCATGTCGCGTCAAGACGAGTTCATAGTTCCTCTGAGCTATAGGCTTTCCTCGTCCAATACCAGACCTGATCATCTTGACAATCTCAGTATGGACGTCTTCGCCAAAGATTGATAGAAGCGGCTCGCCAAGTGAGAGGGGTGAAGCTCCCCAACGACGAATTTTGCCTCCTTATTGTAGAGCAGCAACATTTCGTTTCCCCAGTACAGGACGCGAGGCTCTCTCGAAGCCAGAATCGTCGTGTACATTTGTCGCAGCATGGTAGGCCAAGAATGTATAGGACCGACGGTTTTATCCTCCCAGTTGTGGTTGAGTACAAAGTCGAGCCAGGGGTCTGGAGAAGGTTTCGGGAACAAGAGCCAGTCGACGGTCAAGTCTTCGAAGGGCGTGTCCATGTCAGAAGCTCCTATGCTAGACGTGTATGTAGAAGTCGAGGTCATTGAAGCGGAATCCGACTCTTGACGCTTCAGAGGAATGGTGGTCGAAGGTAAGGCTTGAGCCGAGTCTTGGTTTTCTGGCGACAGAGCTCGTGCCTGGTCAGGCTGGATCTTGACATGGTAACTTCGGTGTGTTTGTGTCGGACATGTGACAGCGGTCCAGGACGATGCAATGCTCTTTCTGGACCATGGTTGTTCGGCGAACGAACCAAGTTGCTGTGTGGTCCGTCGCTCGGGTCGCGTGCCAATCCGCGCCGCACCGAGGAGCGACTCGAGCCAGGATATATGTGATAAGGTGGCTGCGAAGGCGTCAAAGGCACTGTTGCGGTATACGATTTCGGCCGTCGCATCGTCGAGGATTAAGGTGGGACGGTCGTCACCTGCGACAAAGTCGACGAGGACATGGAGCTCAGCCGGCAAGCCATTCGATGGCGTGTACAGGGATGCAGAGGCATCGACGGTGGCGACCATGCCTGTTCACTGCTAGTATAGCGAGCAGGACCTGCGCCATGGCGACATGGTTGTTTTCGGATCCCTACGGCGTCTGGACTATGGTCCTCGGGCGTCTCAACGTCCCTTGGTCGTCCTGACTCTTGCAGCTCGCCAAGACGTTTCTGACTTTTGTTTTGAGCACCCGTCGCATATGGTCAAGAGAAGGACTGCCATCTCCGATTCTTATACAGACAAAAGCTGGTCACTGTAAGGAAGGCACAGGCAGACACGGTCTTTGCGACATGAATCCATGGCAGGAGCGACGCCGTCCGGACGAAGCTCCGCCAACAGCCAATCTTGCCTTTGCGCCCCTACTGGAACCGCTGTTGTTAGTGAAGTGCAAGTTCCGATTGGACTTAGCAAAACAAAACGGTCAAGTCTGATTTAGAGTAACTTTGAGGGGTTGTCATCTATATCCAGCTGTGCGGGAAGACAATGAGAGCTCCAGCACGACCCGGTGGGAGGAAATATCTGCTGTGAGGGTAACCCGAACCTTCTGCCACAATAGCGCTGAAGATCATGGTACAGGACGAGAGTCTCCAAAACAACTGCGGAGTTATTACAAGCAATATCTTTGTCTAATGCGGAAGAGTGTTTAGGCTCTGGTTGGTCGACGAGCGAGGAGGAAATATCTGATCGATGCTCCTTAAACACCCGCCGAGCGCCTCGACCGGGAACTGTTTGCCAGACATCCACCCGTCAACAAAATCACGCCACGACTGCAGCAGGCCACTTCGACATGCAGAGACATGGAACGTAGGTGTCCGGATCGGCTTCGAAGGCAGTTATTCAGTCGTCGCAAGCGAAAAGATGTCGCTATATTTACGCGCCGTGCCAAGAAAACGTCTCATTGGACGGGGCAGCGTCAACTGATGAGAGACAGCGTGTACCATCTCTTCAAACGAGGAAGATCAGAATAGCAAAAGACCGGTGTTTGTTGTCTGAGTTATCAAGGTTCAGTGGGCTGTGTAGATGGAAAGTCAGTATTTAAGACCTTTGCTTTGCTGTCTTTGTTCTTGGTCTCAGACAATTCGACAAACACAGCATCTCTTCTCTTTCTCCTTCTGCTTTTCTTTTGGCATATTAGTTCTGCTCATTCTGCATCTTTATTGGTCTTGCATCTCGTGCGTCCTTTTCAACTCGATTCTTTCCCGCAGGCCGGCCTTTTGCACTTTTACCTTTTCATCCCATCTCCCATCAGCAACCATTCATAAAGCCGACAAGATGCCTGTTCCAAGTTACGGTGCCCTTCCTCTCAGCGAGACTTTCCTCTGCATCAGAGGGCTGAGTCTGGTTGCCATGGTCGGTATTGTCGGTCTGACCGCAAATTTCGTGGCTGCAATCAACAGTGTTGGCATCGAGCCTCCGAAAGAGATCGTCGGAACTTTGAGCATTGTATGTGTTCCTTGGAATTCGTGTAGCCTGATCAACACTAACTCGCATGCTAGNACTTGCATCGCAACCCTATACACTCTGATCAGCATTCCGTTCTACATGGCTCAGGCCAACCTAGGCTTGTTCATCATGACTGCCATTGACGGTCTTCTTCTCCTTGCTTTCATCGTCGTCTCAGTCACTCTCGGTAAACCGCTCAGTCTGCTCAACTGTTTCGCTATTGCCAATGCCGATGCCAAGGTCGATGCAGCAGGCGCCGCATACTGGTTGCAGAGTCTGGTGCAAAACGTCAAGCAGGGCGAAAACATCGGATTGTACGTCTGGGCTGGTTCGACCAGAGTCAACTGTCTTGAAACCAAGGCCATTTGGGGGTTGTGCATTGCGCTTTGGTGAGTTCTTGAACGTGGTCGATACAACGACCGATTTTCTGACATCGAATTCTACAGCATCTTATTCTCATGCTCCTGCGTCTTGTTGCCAACTTTGTGGTTCAAGAGCAAGAGAGCCGGTCTGCTACCCAGAAAGATCGAAGCGGCCTGAACAGCTCGATTGACTTGACCGGAGATGCAACTCACAGTACGCAAGCCGAACGGAAGGCCAGAGCCTCATGCATCTCTCAGGCGAAAGACTGGCTGTCGCGGCACAGATTGTGATGTCGGATGTGGGCGCATTGCGCGGAGATGTGATTATTCTCCTTTGTTTGCATTTTTGTTTCCTTGGTCGTTTGCTTCGGCATAGAGCGGTCGTCACTTCACAGTCGTTTCCATCATTTTCGCATTGCGACGGGACAATACGGGCAGAGATGAAGAAGAAGATAGGCGCATTCTCAGGACGACTCCTAATAGAAAATGATCACGAATTGTCTTGTTGATTGTAAAAGAATGAAAAGCCCCACCCACGAGCTTCTATCGAGTCAACCTGTCGAGCGTCGGCGTGTTCCGAGCGCCATGATTGGACGAATTTGGACATGCAATAGGATGCAGCTACTTCTTATCGTGCTCTATCCATTTGTTGAGTTATCATGCGTAGTTCCTTCCCGTAAAATTTCTTACCATTCAGCTTTCGAAGTTTTTCATAAACATGTAGTTGCCTCAGTCAGCTTTTCGCGAAACAACCCACCCCTCCCCTCCCTCATCTTGTCTCGAGGTCATCCCCATCATCCTACACGCCTAAACTGACTCGCTAAACACTGGCAACTTGATCGCGTGCTCTCATCCTTTGCGGGAAGGAACCATTTGTGAGAGCAATTACGTCAGCCTATACTTTACCAACCGCCGAATATAAACTTCTCGAGTCGCACGAACTGACGAAACGATGTCGTTGTTCGAACGAAGGAGCAGTATGGAGACACTGCGAGATCACTGGAATACAACGACACCAAATGACTTGGGAGTCAGAGCATCTTCGCCCACTGGTTCCGAACGTCGCAAGTTGAGCTTTAACCCTGTAGGCAGCTGGGTACCGGATGTTGCGCATGAGGAACCTGTTGCTGCGTTTGAGGTCAGCAAGATCAAGAGGATAGCCCAAGTTGCTGTCGCTTGTTTGTACTGTTTGTTTGCTGCTGGTGTGGTATTTGGTTATGCTGCTATAAAGCCTGTTCTGATTGAGCAGGGTGTTTATGCTGAGCGATGCACACCCAAGGAGATTGAAGAAGGTGTGTGGGTATGCTATGAACAAGAGTTGAGACTCAACCTGATGTTCACCGTCGCTGCCGTCAGCACGAATGTATGCGCTTTGCCTGTTGGAACTATCTTGGATCGATATGGCCCCAGAGTTGCTGGTATCATCGGCTGCTTTCTTCTTGCCATCGGTTCTGCTCTTCTGGCCTTTGCTTGGGATGTTCGCGAAAGTGTCGATCTCTGGATTCCGGGTTACTTCTTCCTCGCTCTCGGTGGACCTTTCATCTTCATCTCGAGCTTCCAGCTCTCGAACACATTTCCCAAGCACTCTGGCACTATCCTTGCACTCTTGACTGGTGCCTTTGACACCAGCTCTGCTGTCTTCCTTGTCTACCGTCTCATATTCCAAGCGACTGAGGGGAAGTTTAACACCAAACGGTTCTTCTTGATTTACCTGGCTGTACCGGCTATGATACTTGTCGCTCAAATCTTCCTCATGCCTTCGAACAGCTACAAGACTGTTGGCGAATTGGTTCAGCAAGCCGAAGAGCCATCGGCAGATTCGGATTCAGATCTTGACATAAGCAATGAGGAACGTGCTCTACTTCGTCAAGAACGTCGCGAGTCCATGGTTAGCGAGATTACCGAGTTGCTCGGCAGTAAGAGTGCCGAAGAACAACAGGCCCAGCAACAACAAGTCGAAGCAACGAGCGGCGTTTGGGGCGTTCTGCACGGCAAGCCCGCACTCAAGCAAATTATAACACCATGGTTCATCCTCATCGCTCTGTTTACCATTATCCAGATGACCAGAATCAACTACTTTGTCGCCACTATCCGCACTCAGTATTCCTATCTGGTCGGTCCTGGAAAAGCCGAGAACATCAACGCTTTCTTCGACATCGCTCTTCCGCTTGGTGGCGTTGTTGCTGTGCCTTTCATTGGATTGGTCCTCGACCACACAAGCACTGTTTTTACTCTTACTCTGCTAGTCACCATCGCAACAATCATTGGTGTTCTAGGCGTCATTCCCAACACCGGCTCCGCATACGCCAACATCATCCTCTTTGTTATCTATCGCCCTCTCTACTACACAGCCGTCTCGGATTACTCAGCCAAAGTCTTTGGCTTTGCCACCTTTGGCAAAGTCTATGGTCTCATCATTTGTCTTGCTGGTCTGTTCAATTTCTCGGCTCAAGGCCTGGATGCACTCACTCATCATGCATTTTACAACAACCCTATCCCTGTGAATATCATTTTGCTTTCTACTGCGTTTGCGGTTGGTGTGCTGTTGGTAGGTTATGTGTGGTACCAGTCTAGGTACATCGAGAGNGAGGGCTTGGAAGAAGAGGCTGAGGAGGCAAGGGAAGTGTTGATGCCTGGTGCTGATGCGAACAACACTATGAGAGAGCACGGTCACCAGACTTACGGAATTGCATGATTTGTTCGTAAGCTACGCACCAGCAGAAGACCATAGTTGGCATTGACAAAAGGGGAGAGCCTCAAAGGGTCAAAAAAGGGACCATGATCCCAAGCATTGTTAAACATTGCGTTGTAATGTATTGTACGAAGTTCGACCTTGACGGCCTATCAGTACTTGTACTTACCAGCAATGTGGCATTGATATCAGGGTCATCTCTACTGGTATCGTTGCGTTCGCACCGACCCCGGAAGTCCAGCTTATGACTCGATCAACCATTAATGTTCGTCATTCTGGGAAGCAGTTGAGCTAATATTGCCATCATACTTTTTCACCTATCGCAAAAGCCTGGACCGAATCCACTTGACGTGTTACGGTCTTCGTCTCGAGTCCTATACTCGCATCTCCTTTAGGGGATGGCAGACCATCGTCTACGCAATGGATTGATCAGGTCACTGACACTAGTCTCATCCTGTCTATCTCCGGGAATCCAAGCTTGACTGTATAGGTGGACTCAGACGCTAGGCGAATCGCAAGTTATGGAAATCCAAGAGAGGTAGGAGTTTTAGACGGGTACACAGACCTAGTGACTCTCTCGCTCCAAGCAGACCAGAAATTGGCGAGTGACCAACTGGTGAATGACCACTGGTATACTGGCGTGACTCCTATACGCATTGGTGATAGCAACAAGTTGAGTATGTTCCTCCGAGCTTGGTTGCAGATCTACAGATAGGGTCAAGAAGATCTGGCAGAATAAGTGGTAATCGTGTGACCAATCGCCTTGCGCGTGGTTTCCATAGGTTGCTATTGTTCTTGACCATCTCTGGTTTTGAAACAGACTCCCGTTTTAGGATCATCAAGGGATTGGATGTAGATACTGGCGAGAAAGAAAAGGATGGAAGCATAGAAAATCTTATTCAGATAGAGCCAAATTCGAGGAAAACAGCAAGAGAATGTTCCAAACTTCTATCTTGTTGTAAGACAGAATCAGAGAGCTTGAATATGACAATACCCAATTAATAATCATACACGTAGTTCCAAGCCTTACCCGCTGGGAAATAACTGGTCTGGTTGAGGCATACCGTCAACTGCAGATTGGAGCTTGCGATAACAATCAATCTTGTGGAAGTCATAGAAAGCTTCCTCGATTTCGTCTTGGGGCAGACGTATCGTCTGTGAGCATGATATTGACACACTTGCGTCTCGGTGCCAAAAGGAATCAGCCACGAACGAACGCTCGGATTAGCAAGATCTATATAAACGTCGTGCACACCCACGCAATCGCGAAGGCGGAAACAGACATAACGAATATCCTTGATGTTGTTCTTGATGTTGTTCTTGACGTTGTTGAATCTCATGATATGAGCCGATCAGTGACGATGACGATATTTGCCCTTCATCCCATTGATACGTTGTCGCCTTTTTTGAAGTTCTGGAAATTCGAGAAGGAACCGGTTGTTTCCATGGAAGACTCGAAGTACTTCTTTGCGAATTTGACGAGCGGTAAGAAGAAGAGAGGGCTCCTCGAGAACGTGAGAGCGTCTTGGACTCAAGTCGTAGGTGACACCAGAAGTAAAGAGTAGTTCATAGACATGAAGTTGGAGCCCAACAGGCAAGTCCATGAATCGGAAAATTTGCTGAACCTCGGAAGGTGCAAGTATCTCGGTGGGCGTGTCCTCGACCTCGATGATTGTCGTATGTGGATGATCGTGTTTTGTTTCCTAAAGTTATGCAAATCTGGTGTTCCTGGAGACTCGGAACCATGCACAAACAACATCTCTTTGTTCACGATGAGGCTTTCACAAATCATTGCACCGATACTGATAACAAAGTTTGTAATAGACTTGGAGATACTCCTTTTAGCTTCAAGAATATTCATCGTTGCTTCCCTTGCTCTTGCAAGAAGTCTCTTGATGTATAACTAAGCACCAGCCACTCAGTTTGGCTGCCACAGCACGCTGACATATATTCTTCCAATCAATACATACAAGAACCTTCTTATTACACATACTGATCTCCTGTTATGATTTAGAGAACTAAAATAAGCTTATCAGATGTCAACTATATGGGTCAGTGTCAGTCAGTGTGTAGTGTTGGCAACTTGGAGAATCATCAAAAGGCTTCCACTCGAGAGCCATGCACTTGATTTAAGGCCATGTTCGACGACTAAAAACATTACAAGACGTCACAGGTGACTGTCCGGACGAAGCCAGGGGACAGAGTTCTCCAACCTCCGAACATATCGAACCACTGCTCATGGTCTAATCACTAAAACCATATGGCAGACTATCGACATCACAACCTTGTCCGAATTTCGAAAGAGAAGCGATGCTTCTGCCCACAGGAGTAGAATCAGGTCACTGAATCATAAACCAGATCTCTCATCTCTAAGGCTCTTTATCGCAGAGCTGATTGGTCAAGATGCGGTCGGCAATCAATTTCATGCTTTTCAGAAGGTTGGAGGAGGGAAGCTAATACGGAAGCTACACAGACCTGAGCGCTTTCCTTCATCAACTTTCCATCCACAGATAGACAAAGCAGAGCGTACGCTAGACAGTAGTTTTCAAGTGCGATGACTGCTTGTCCGGCGATGTAGGCTTTCCCAAGCCATGTCTACCGCCATGCTCATGTCCTGGCGCCAGAGAGCCCACTTGGTAATTGCGAGTTCGGGGATGTAGCGAAGCTGATTTGGAAGTGCATGTTTAGCACACTCCAGACGACGGAGGGGGCCATTAGCGCCAGCGCACCATCTATCAATTTCCTTTTGCGGCCGCGAAACAACGCTAGTGGGAATGATACACCAGAGCAGCTCACTGTCTACTACTACGACGGCTAGAAGAAGGTCGATCAAATGATATGAGAGTCTATGTGGTGTATATCGATCAACTTTTTCAAGAGATAATCTTCGCACGCCTTATCTCCCGAAACGTAGGTGATCCATGCCATGCACCAGTACCAGGATAGACGCTCTGTCATCCGTGCTCATGAGAACTATACAGGCGGAGCCAATTGCATGGGTAAAGTAGGTCACTGACTCCGAGCCTAACCCTCTCTCCCCAAACTTCCTCGCTTTCCTCTTGGTCTTGTCATCTTCCAAGACAGTTATTCCTCCGTCGTTAGGAAGGTGAAAAGCTACACAGACATGATAACCTTCCTATAACACACTGTGACCTCCCACCCTTGTCATTCAGCATTGACGGAGAATTATATCATGACCGAAACGCACGAGCGATCCTTATCGTAGTGCTTAATTGCACAACGCGTTATGCTGCTTTGGCATTGGTGATCTAAGACTCTATGGACGACTGTGGACTATATGTCGGGCAGAGAAATCTAGTCAGGAAAGTGATGTTTGACGATCTTGTCATAATGTTCATCGTATAATATGATGGTAGAATGCTCAAGGGAGCTAAAGGACTCTCTCCAGATCGTAAGACTTCTAGCTTCATGAGTCACAGAGATTTATGCGTCTTACTTAGGATGAGTTGCTCAAACAAAAGGCGTATATAGCCATCTTTCACCGTTCTTGGGTAAATGAGTGTATACCTAAATTGGTGCCGACCAACTGCCTGTCTATACCCACCTAGTCGAGTCCTTTATCCAACGTACCCAGCACTACTCAGATCATTACATGCCGCGAGCAACTATTGGACTGTAAGTTACCGGTTCTCGAATCGACGACCGCAGCGCAAGAAGAAGGATAACAGGTCACTGGCTCCACGACTCGATCTCATATCCCCAGTACCTTTCTCAGTAACCCATCCATACTGTTGCCTCAAACATAGTAATCTCTAAGCGTGAGAGAGAGGGAGATTGAAGAAGAGATCCATAGACCTACTGGCTGACCTGCCATTTGCGGTCTCGGACACGATTTTCCCCAGTACTTTTGAGAGACGTCTGGGCATATAATTTAGGTCTTCCCAACTGAGAGGTAAGCACTTCGCTTGCCGCTTCCTTGATCCAGGTCGGCAATGCTGATTTTGCGGCATGTCTGGAGTTCCGGATCGAGGGCGACTCTGGAGGTAAGTTGATCCAGATCAACTTCTTGCAGATTCAGTTGGGCTTGGAGAAACTTTGACATTGTTGACTTGATGCTGTCTCAAAGTTGGGCAACAGTGCGACAATCCACATAGTCGATCACTTTGTCGTGGATGAGTTTAGGGCTTCGCTGGATGAGGTCGTAGAAGTCTTCCACAAGGCTTCTCAGATCACTGTCGAGCTTACTTTTGCGACGTCGTGGCGTTGTGGGCGGTAATACAAGACTGAACAAGATAAATAGGACAGTGATGACTGTGGGATGCAGGTGAGAGCATCTACCACTGATTGTTTATCTAGGCTCACGCATGAGTGCCAAGATCACCATCTCGCCGCGCCCGTGACTCCTCTCCGCGACATCAAATCCAATCTGATCCGTTGGGATCAGTCGAAGGAAGAGTGGGTATCAGGTCACTGACTCCATATCTTGATGGATGATCTCCATCATCAATGTATTAAACATCGAGATCAACATAGCCAAACAAGGATTTCGGAGCATGGAACCACAAGAAGCAGATACACAGACCTGATAGCTTACCTTTGTAGTCGACTGCAATAGAAAATTCTTGGGCCGATGGAATCAGTTAATGTCTACAGCGTAGTTACATGCCCACTCTCTGGCCACATTGTTCTTGCAACATCTCACTCTATCCTTCGGGATGGTGAACACCACTTTGACATTCTGCTCCGTCGTTAGCTGCTAGGTAGTCATAGGTGTAGAGAAGTCTTTTCTAGCCATAAGGGTTTGCTGGATCACTAGAAACTCGCATTGTCGTTTCTATCAAACATGCACACGAGATGTCTCTTTTGTCTAAAGCGTTCGTCCTCTAAATAAGTCTGTTTTTGTGGCAATAACACGATCACTTCACCACCTCTTGCACCAATCCCTAACGCAGACAGTTCGTAAAATCGTTGACACATGCCACAACCATCCTCGTAGAGGACAATAAAATTAATTCGTATCTTTCATGCCGTATCTTCTTGCCATCATACGTCAAGACATCTCCGGATGTCAGTGAACGCTCTGCCACCGTACAGCAAGACAGACACGCACTGGCCCATTTTGGCAGCTGTCTTAAGCTACTCGAGTATTCCGTGTCTCCTGTGTCTCATGCTTCAGGACATGCCCGGATAGCTCGCGAATGAGGTTCCGAAACAGCAAGGACCAATACTGTATCTCCGCTGCTCGAGGTGTAGAGTAGTGGTAGGAGTGGAGGTTACGCACGAAAGGATCTGTCATGGTATCACGATCACGGCGAGCGAGTAGTGGTAACGCATCGCAATCACGGCGAATGATGTGTTATAGGCAATGAAGGTGACGCACGAAAGTATCTGCGCTGGTATCACGATCATGGCGAGCAGCGGTTCTTTCTTGTTTGTTCTTGTGCCCGGGCATCTTGCCGTATCAGTGTGATGTGTGATGAAAGATCTGGATCGCATAGGAAGGTGCCCGGAGATGTGATCATGCCAATGAGATCATCGTTTCCAAAATCGGTTGCGAACCAGTCCTCAAAACGTTTGGTTGTTAGGGAAGTTTTGAGCAGTTCTAGCAGAAATGTGAACATGTGATTCCAAGATGTGGTAGTTAGTTTCGGTTTCATGTAAAAGTCCGACTTTGGGTCGACAGACTTTCACCCGAGAGATTTAAGGTCAACCGCTTCGAAGTTCATCATCTGTACTTTGATATACTTTTTCTGTAGGCAGTGTGAGTGGCACATGTAAATGGAGAGAAACAAAATTGAAAGGAGTTTTGAAAAATGGTTCTTGCAGTCATTGCGCATGTTGATTGTATACCTGCCGACCTCCGGCATCTTGACTTCCATGCTCGTTCATGATCGATTCTCATGCGAGATGCATGCATGCATGTCTATGATACATGATGAACCCGAAGGTTGTTCGTACTACTCCACATCGGAGGGTGAGAGGACGACATAAGATTCTGCACTTGATGTTATCTCATCAGTCGAAGTGTTTGGGCTGGTCGTGTTTTGGGTGGCGTTTCTTCCTGGTCTGTGATGGCACGTCGCAGTCTATGCGGTCTGGTCGACAGCCATGCCATCGGCGTCATCATCAACAGCCTCTATGCGGCAAGCTGATGGTACGGAGGCCTCCTTGTCGATCATCTGGCGTGACACGGAAACGATGTTGTCTTCGAGGAGGTCTTGACCGAGAGTCTCAANTGTCTGCGATCGTGTTAGTAGGTGAACTAGATTGATGATGTGGGATGACATACGCTTCTTGGGATCGACCTTGCCGACGTATCTTGTGCGTAGTTGATCCTTGGTCAACTCGGTCTCCTCCTTGACACGCTTCTCGTAGCCCTCTGCCAAGCTGACGAGCTTATTGAGCTTCTCCAATGTCCGGTCGCCCTCAGCCTTGAAGTCAGGCATGGTCAGAGCTTCCGTCCAGACACTCTTGTGTAGGTTCATGAGCATAGCCTCTTCTCCACCCATCTGACCATTCGATTTGGCATCGGCGCCGTTACCAGAACCACCACCGCGACCCTTGAGATAGCCGACGGCGATACTGTAGTAGTGGCGGTTGAGACCGTGGATCAAAGCTTGAATGCTGGGCTTGTTGAGGTGACCGACGTTGCTCGTGGTTTGGCGCGGCTCCTGGCCGAGCATGAGAGTCTGAGGGTTGATGAGGCGGAAAGCGTCGATGACGACCTTGCCCTTGACGGACTGGATGGGATCGATGACGACGGCGACGGCGCGAGGAGTGAGTTGTTCGAAGGATTGTTGGGTGTTGATATCGACGCTTGACAACCAACAGCCGAAACCAGGATGTGAGTGGTACCAGCCAACGACAGTCTCGGGACGGCCAGTTTGACGCAGCATGTCCATCATTCTTGTTTGGAAGACGGGGTCGACAGCCTCGACCGAGACACCAGTACCGCTCTGGGGCATGGCAAAGACATCGACGACGCGGACAGTGTAGTCGTCGACGAATTCACCCAGCATCAGACCCATGACTTCCATGGGCACACCGGCTCTTCCGTGGCGCAGCATCTTGAGCAGGGCGAGAGACGAGATGTAGACGGTTTCGGAGTTGTCGACGACGTTGCCGTCCTGCTGCATGCCAGCACCGCCTCCCATGCCCTGGGCGGCGGCCAGCATTCGCGAGAGTCGGTCCATAGTGATGTGTTGTAGGTGTGTGTGCTTCTTCCTTCTCTTCTGGTATGCGCAGACCTGTAGAGTGATCGGGCGAGCAATGGACAGGCGGCGGGAGGGAGATGGAATTGTTGATGATCGAGTGATGGAAGCAGCTCGGACGGCGACGCTGGACGACGACAATGATGCTGATGCACGAAGCTCCAACCTCCGACCTCCGACCTCCGACGCGACCTCGTTCTGTGAGGTTGTTTGACTTGTTTGCACCTTCCCCAAAGGACGAAGCTCGGAAGTGGCAGGTCGCCGAGCATTTACCTTTACTGTTTAACATTCACCTCAATCGAACCAACTCGATCGCGTCGCATTCTTCTTGTCGATATTGCCTGCACATAACTGGATCCTTATACACGATAGCTTCGTTCAACTAGTATCGACAAGCCGCTGCCATGGCCAACTCGGCCCAGTATGGCCCTCCGCTGGACCCTCCTCGCGCCAGCAATGGTGCTCAGCCCAAGAAGGTCGCCTACTTCTACGACTCGGACGTCGGCAACTACGCATACAATGCCGGTCACCCCATGAAGCCCCACCGCATCCGAATGGCACACAGTCTGATTATGAATTACGGNCTTGTACAAGAAGATGGAAATCTACGTGCGCCTGAACCACGCCTGTCGCATACCCTCTCCCACATGCTGACCATCTCCCAGCGAGCTAAGCCTGCCTCCAAGTACGAAATGACCCAGTTCCACACGGACGAATACGTCGACTTTCTCTCGAAAGTCACTCCGGACAACATGGACAGCTACGCGAAAGAGCAAGGAAAATACAACGTCGGTGACGACTGTCCCGTTTTTGATGGCCTGTTCGAATACTGCGGTATCAGTGCTGGTGGCAGTATGGAAGGTGCTGCCCGTCTCAACCGTCAAAAGTGCGATGTCGCCGTCAACTGGGCTGGAGGTCTGCATCACGCNAAAAAGAGCGAGGCCAGTGGTTTCTGTTACATCAACGACATCGTCCTCGGCATCATCGAGCTTCTCAGATTCAAATCGCGCGTCCTCTATATCGACATTGATGTCCACCACGGTGATGGTGTTGAAGAAGCCTTCTACTCTACGGACCGCGTCATGACCTGCTCCTTCCACAAGTACGGAGAATACTTCCCTGGTACTGGCGAATTGCGCGACATTGGTGTTGGCAACGGCAAAAACTACGCCGTCAACTTCCCTCTACGCGACGGTATGGACGACGTCGCATACAAGAGTGTCTTCGAGCCCATCATCGCCAAGATCATGGAGTTCTTCCGTCCCGACGCTGTTGTCCTACAGTGTGGTGGTGATTCGCTAAGTGGTGATCGTCTTGGTTGCTTCAATTTGTCCATGCGTGGCCACGCCAACTGCGTCAAGTATGTCAAGAGCTTCAACCTCCCAACACTGGTCCTTGGAGGTGGTGGTTACACGATGCGCAACGTTGCCCGTACATGGGCTTACGAGACCGGTCAACTTGTTGGTCAAGAAATGGGCCCCGAGCTACCATACACCGACTACTACGAATACTACTCCCCCGACTTCGAACTTGACGTCCGCCCTTCGAACATGGACAACGCAAACAGCCCGGAGTACCTCGAGAAAATCAAGCTGCAAGTCTTCGAAAACCTATCACGCACAAGATTTGCCCCTAGTGTTCAAATGACCGATGTTCCACGCTCACCACTTGTTGTGCAACCCAACGAGAACGACCCAGACAATGAGGGCGATACCGAAGATCTGGATGAACGTGAGCAGCGCCTGGACGATAAGGACGACGATGAGAACCCAGACTCCCGCTACACCGAACGCAAATGGGATGCTCGTGTCGAACGTGATGACGAGTTTGAAGACTCTGACGATGAAGAGATGGACGCATTGCTTGGAGTCAAGGAACAGCCTGGTCAAAAGTCTCGCAGAATGAAAATCACCGACCACAAGAACCCCTTCGCCGACACGGCAGAAGGTCCTATCGAGTCTGGAACCGCCACTCCAATCGAGACTACGCTCCCGCCTGTAGCCGCTCTAGCCGATCAGATGGTTGTCGAGAGAGCACAGGAGGCTAACGCTGCCGTGGGTGATGCCATTATGGCCGCCAAGGCATCCGAAGATCCTCATGCCGTGCAGCCTGCTCTTGGTGAGGAAGTCGCCAGCAATGGAACTCAACGAGCACGATCACCACCGAAGCCAGCATCAACTACTGTGCAGGCTCCTGTAGCCGAGCCTGAAGATGTCGAGATGGGTGATGATGATGCCACCCATCCGCCTACAGACGCACCAAACGCAAACATTACACAAGGAGGTGCCGGACCTACTGCTACACCCCCGCCAGAACCTGCAGTACCCGAAGCTCCCACAACAGCTCCTGAGGACGTGGAGATGGGTGAAAGTGCTGCCGAAGCAAAGGAGGAGGGACGTCAAGAACGGGACGCAGAAGATGTGGAAGGCGAGATGAAGCGTGAGGTTGAGGCTGGTGGTATCAACTAGGGATTATCCGACTCATCGCTTTCGCCCCCTACCATACCGCGATCACCTACCACGATGTACAATAGCCCACTTCCTCAGCGCCCCTGCCTCATCCAGCGCACTCCAATCCTAATCGACGATCAATTTTTCCATCAGCTTGGTGGGATGGAAACATTGGTCAGAATTGACCATTGAGGAGTTCGGCGTTCTGTTCCAGTCAGGAACTGTGGGTTTCCTCAGAACAAGGAGTTTTATTGATTTGTTATTGTGCCTGAGATGAGGAAAAAGGTTAGCAATTGCTATGTATCCTTGAAATTCACGAGTAGACTACGATTGAGACGTAAAAATGTTTATCACGTTCAACTTTGCTCTTGCTATCCTTTCTCGTGCTCCCTTCTTCGGATGTGCTCGACTGTCACGACGTGCGGTCTTGCTCAGTGTGGAAGGTTGAGCCGTTATCGACACCAAGCCTAATTTGGCAAGTCTAGCCGTACGTACCGAAACGACCCCGCCTTGATAACCACCTCTCGGACAACTCGGTAAGGAGTATAAGAATGTCTTGACTTCCTTCTTGTCCTGTCCGCTACATCATTCTCCATTTTGGTAGGAACTCAGCCCTGACAATAGTCTTACGTTGTCTCGCTTGACTTCGTGCTCGGTACCACAACCATCATGTGGCCATTTGGGTCTTCCCAGCATCGACAGATATGGTGAGTACTCCTTATACAAGACTGTTACATATCGCTAATGACATGCCATCCNAGTCAACGCAAACAGGACGAACGTGCCTCGCGCATAGCAAATCTGCCCCAGTCTTACCAATCGCCCATCTCATCTTCTGAGCGCTCAATCTTGGATACACCCATCGAGGAACTGGTCGAAGATGTCCAGAACTCCATCAAGTCACCAATTGATGTGCTTCGCGCTTATGGCAAAGCAGCCGTCAAAGCACAGCATGCCACTAACTGTGTGACGGAGATTATGTTTCCCGATGCTGAGACTTGGATCAGCAACGATGGGGTCAATCTCAAAGGTCCACTTGCAGGTATCCCTGTAAGTCTTAAAGACTCGATTGTTGTGGGTGGGTATGATACTAGTGTGGGATATTCTGGAAAGTGCTTCAAGCCGTGGGCCAAAGACGGCGCTATGGTGAGACTGCTCAAAGATGCGGGTGCAGTGCCTTTCGTCAAGACTGCGTTACCGATCACTCTACTGAGCTTTGAGTCCACCAACGATGTCTGGGGTCGCTGCACCAATCCTCACAACAAAGATTACAGTCCTGGCGGCAGCACCGGAGGTGAAGGCGCTATCTTAGCGTTTGGAGGCTCGAGGATAGGTATTGGAAGCGATGTCGCTGGATCTGTTCGTGCGCCCGCGCATTTTTCTGGTTGTTTCTCGCTCAGGTGCTCTACCGGGCGATGGCCGAAATATGGTGTGGATACTTCGATGCCGGGACAGGAAGGTATCCCTAGTGTGTTCTCGCCAATGACAAGGACGCTCTCAGATCTGTTATACTTCACGAAAAGTCTGATTCAATGCAAGCCTTGGACCTATGACCAAAGTGTGCATCCAATCGCCTGGCGACAAGAAACCTACGAGGCCTTCAAAGACAAGAAGAAATTCAGGATTGGTGTGTTGAGGACTGATGGCGTGGTTGATCCTTCTCCCGCCTGTGCTCGGGCTCTCCAACTCAGCATCGACGCTTTGAAGAACCAAGGCCATGATGTATTTGACCTGACTCTACCTTCCGCACCTCATGCACCCCTGGACGCCTTGGCTATCGCTTCCCAATTACTCAACGCAGAGGGCACAAGAACTTATTCACGCTTCTTCTCCTCCGGCGAAACCAATGATGCAGGAGCTGCTCAATTGACCTTCTGGATGGGTCTTCCCTCTCCTCTCCGCTGGCTCTACGTCAAGTATGTGCGCTATATCCTCCGCGACGCCACTTGGGCCCGCCTCTTAGAGTCTCTGCACGAGAAATCTGCATACCAGAACTGGGAACTGGTGTACCAACGCGAAAGCTTCAAGAACGTCTGGTTTGACTGGTGGAATGGCGTCAACAGTGATGGTAANGGGGAGATGGATGTCATGATCACGCCACCCAACGCTACTCCTGCGGTACCTCATGATGGTATGAAGGATGCGGTTGCTTCTTGTGGTTACACTTTCCTGTTCAACCTGTTGGACTACACCTGTGGTATCATTCCTGTTACCAAGGTTGATGCTACTAAGGACACACTTTTAAGGGATTTCGTGGTCAATAAGAACGGAGTGGCCAAGGGAGCTTATAAGCATTACGATGCAGATAAGATGGCTGGATTGCCTGTTGCTGTGCAAGTTGTGGGTAGAAGACTGGAAGAAGAGAAAGTTCTTGCTGTTATGGAAAGAGTGGAGCAGGCGTTAGAGGAGAGTGGGACTGTTTACGAGTTGTTGCAAGTACCTTAGAAAGGTTCATGTAAGAGAGTCAGATTCGAGATGCCGTGATGACGGGCGGGTTCAATGCACGATTGCGACACTCTACACAGCTATTGAAATGCAAGAGCATATACAACCTTAGGACGTTGTCCATTGAGAGTATCCGTCTGACTCTCTTCCCTCGATCATTACCATGGAACAGAACACATTCCTGTATTTCGACAAACGACGTGATCTCTCAGCTATTATCGAGATGCGGTTCTCCGACATTATGCTACGAACAATTCCACTTCATCATCACCTCCACGCTCTATCTCGCACATCACGACCGATCATCCAGCCATGTCTCCATACACCGCCCCCGTCCTTGCCCTACGTGTCCCGCGGTGCCTTTTCTCTTTACATTACACCCTAAAAACCCACCAGGTCTCGTGGCGGTGGACAAGATCTCGATGTCGCAATTCTCGTGCTTGAGAATATCGTATCCGGAAGTCATGCACGACAGGACCGATGTGGAGATCAGTACAAAGCGGTCTGTAATCTGGAAGTCGTGTTGAGGTTCTGAGCTCGCAATGTTTGCCGGTCAGGGAGAATGGATGCGGAAGTAACGCACAAACACATCCTCGAGGAAATACGCAGAGAAGAGCGGAACAGCATATTTCTTGGGTAACGGCACCCGTTTCTCGAGCTTGTCGATGCTCTGACCGATCTGGAAAGTAAAAAGTGAACGGAGTGATCGCAGTCGTCCATGTCCGTTGAGTCTAACATGAGGGATGTGGTGTGTTTGACCAAGGTGTTTGTTTACACTTGCTGATTTTGTGCTCGGAGAGAACGGTTTGTAAATCGTGGGTCTTTCTCGCTTCTGACCATATCATCAAAGGAGCATGTTTGGGTGGACGAAGTTTGATATTTACTTTTGTTGCAGTAATGCTTTGAATTCGGCGAACTTGCTGCCGCTGTCCTTGTCCTCAAAGGGTGAGAGCCTTTGTTTTGGAAGGAGGCTTCCCTAGCTTGCTCTTGCCAGAAGGTCGAAGAAGGTGATCGATGGAAGGTGCGAAGAAGGATATAAACACCGCCGTAAGCTGCTTTCGTTCCTTCTTCCCTGCTCATTCTCTCGTCTATGTTTCCTGCTCAGCAGCACTTACTCACTCCATCTCAATCATTATTGTTATATACCAGGTAAATGCTGCAGTTTTCAGCATTGCTCGAGAGCTTGTCTCTGATCTTTCAGGAGTCGAGGCTAGGAGCCCATATCTTCTTTTCATGGTCACCGTGTCTCCAGGGCTTCATTTGGGCATGTCTCCAGCTCCATGACCAAGACTGGTGGGTCGTACGTCTGCTCATCTGCCGAAGCTGTTCTCTCAGGGCGGTCATGTTCAGGCAATCCCCATCATGAGCCAGGCCTGGGTGATTGCTCTAGATTGCAAGAGCGATCTTGGTCTCGTGCTACATTTGACGTCTTGAATGCCTTCTGCAGCTTCTGCAGCCCTGCACGAAGCAAAAGTCGAAGCCATCACCGAGACCAAATCGTCAGAGGAGTCAGTAACTCAAGAGCTTCGTCAAGCGTCCTAGGCTACCATCAATAGGCTCCTCATCCTCACGTATCGCAGAGGCATGAGCTGATCTCGCAATTATCTACGTGTGTTGGGTCCAGAAGGCTGTGTCGGGAAGAACAACATTACCAAGGCATCGAATCCTGATGATGACGAGGGTGACACAACGAGATTATGGGCAACGACAAGGGCAATGACAAGGACATGAGCAAGGGAACGAGCAAGGGCAATGATGAGGCCACAGACTCTGGCCCAGTACAGCGACAAACTCGTTCACGCGCTGCAGCCAGAAGATACGACGACACGATTACTACGTCCTGGGTCAATCGCAGTAACATGACGTTTACGTGAATCAAAGTCATCGGCACATATACTCTTATACTCACCATGGCTTCCAGGTCTCATACTCCGGAGCCTTTTCTCGATGCTATCATACACGGCATACTTGCCTTGCTCTATAACTATCATCCTCGCGATCAATAACGTGAGAACCAAATCTGAGAGATATACAAAATCCATGTCAGAGCTTATAACGCAGACAAACCTTGTCGTTCTCTAGGCAGACGCCCTTGCCCCTCTTGCTTTCTCTCGCCATCACAACTCCCTCATACGCACACCTCTTTATTCACCCATCTTAGCAACCTCAACATCACAACACAAGATGGCCTATCGTTGCAGAGAGTGCGCGGCCAACGGAGTCATCGTCGACTGCACCAGTAGGACCGGCATGAACGCCCACCAAGGAGGCGCCCACAACATGAGCCCTTTCCACTGCTCTGTCTGCCGATACAGGAGCACAAGAAGATACGAAGCGAGTCAGAAAATGAGATTCTTCTTCATGTCGCTTTACTAAGATTGGTGTTGTCATACCGCCAGTCAACGTCACAACGCAGGCGGTCATACCCCAGCAACGGCTATCATGAGCCGATCGCTGAGAGACTCTGTCTACCTCGAGAGTGACCATTGTCTGTTTGCCCAACACGGCGGCCTGAGCCCCGTCAGTTGCCGCCGTTGTGGCCGTGGATACCAACATCATCTGGACCCGCCATGCAGACTGGATTACTGTGATTATCCACAAACATCATCTTAGAGCACGCCGATGCCTTGAACCCGACGACAATCTTCTCTGCGGTCAGTCTTCTGTGTTTTGTGGAGGCATTCGACCGCTATACAGAAAGGCTAGGTGGTACCTCGGTTGAAGCAATCTGGACTAAGATCTCGTTCTCGGAGCTATCTACCGAAACCCTCCCCTACCAACTATTAGGTCTTGACTTGTACTGTGCTGGAGAAGATTCGAGCGATCTGCCATAAAGCTCTGCAATCAAATGAAATGTAGAGAGGGTTGCCCCTACTGCGTCAAGAAGACCATTGATGGCAGTCTCACTCAATTCTACTATATGGAAATTAATCCATCTAAGCTGGGCTGAGAAGATTTACCGCACACTAAGTATCCGAAGACGACCTCATTGTACGCGCTTTCATCTTTCTCACCCCAGGTTATTTTATCATATGATATCAAGCCTATACAATCTCGGGCATCTGTTTTCCTCTATCGAGCTCTCTTTACAATGATCGTGGTAGGATAGCAGGTGGGATTAAGGATAAAGTTGCCGCCAAAGCAGGCCTGGAGAATCACACTACCTATGCCTCTACTACTGCTGGCATTGGCTGCAGTATTAAACAAGGAATGATGTAGGATCAAAGATTACATCACCAACTAAGATCAGAGTACACTTTCTTGCACAACGACGAAGACTATCACTGTTGAGCTCGTATAAATCAACAAGATTTGGTCTGATGTACGCCCTGCTTGTCGTGCATTGCGTCGAGACCCATCTTCTCCGCACGTATTGCTCGCAATCCACCTTGTCGCAACAACAACCCAGACACGGTCAGAACATGGAGTACATTGACCTCACTAACGACTCTAACTGCAACAAGGCCATCAACAACTCCAAGTCTACTGCCCGCCCCATGAAGGCCCGCAAGCCTATTCCCACTCGCGCCGAGGTAAGCCAACATCACGATCTGTGTAGCATATGCACATGGGAACTGACACACCCGGCTGAAGGTCCAGCAGCTCCACGAGTATGTCTTGTTGCTCCCCTCCAGCACCGAGAAGTGGGGAAAGGCTTTGCATGCTTGGATAGAAATCACCCGTCATGCCAGGTTTGTTGACACCCAAGATACACAAGAAGGCGTCGCTTATCGTAGGCAAGCGGCCTGTACCTATCTCTCCATTCTCCGTACTGAAGCTTCTAGCATCCACGCCCGGGAGGATACATCGCCCGTCGTGCTCAAGCTTACCGCATCTCAATAGTTGAAGAGTTGATGTGAGATTGCAATCGCGTCTTCTTACGCTATAGCCATTCGGCAGAACGTAGCCAGTGGACCCCATCATCTATAGTATCATCTTACAGTCTTTCCACGACACTCTTGTCGTTGCAGCGAGATTGGTGGGCGCATCTTGATCTCTGGCGTTTGGTCAAGATTACAGACGCAAGAAGAACTAAATGCCTTACCATCTTGACCCCTATCAATCCTTTCTTGACACACATTCATGATCATTCTGTAGGGCTGTAGTACCATATCTTCCGTCTTTTAATTTCTTTGTTCTTTTGGAATGCATTTTGCCTTTCACATTCTAACTAGTCGGGCAGGCTTCGTTGGCTTCTTTGTTCCAAAGGAGCCGGATACCATATCTTTGTTCTTCTGCCCTCCACCTGGGCTTTCGAAATGACTGCAGACCTTCTTATTGCCATTCGCCGCGATGAGCTTAATAAGCATATCATGGAGAAGTAACCACATCTTCGCGAGTATATCTGTATCGATGGCATCCGTTGTTGTGGAGCATCTGGTTAGGATGAGACAGCCTTGACATCTCCGAGCGGATGATGAATATGTGGACTCTGATGAAATGGATCAGTGTGAGCGGGTACAAGATACGGTCTCCCGTACCATATCGAGGACGGATTGTCTACGGTATTGGCAGACCATGCGATGCAACCTGACTCTTTCCTCAGGTTCAATCTCTTCCCTCTCTAATGAGGATACCTGACGGTATTTTAAAACTTGAGCGGAGTATAGTCACTATTCATATACATGGTGGTAGCTCCGCCATCTCTGAGCTTCGGTATAACCGCCAGACCCGTTACCATGATGTCTTGTCCTACGCAGCACGGCCACAGCAGTCCCTCCAACAGCTCCATCAGCCTTCCTAGTTGCATCAACTGCCATGAACCTCTCCTGACTTCCAAGCAAGTTACCGTTGAGTGCTGGGACGCTTGCGGTCATCACAAGGCCCACTGCTTCAACTGTCTTCTCATGGAGATTGACGACTGTTGCCTTGAAGTAAACAAAAAAGTCTCCACGCAGTCACGTATATCAATATAACTGACCCTTCTACCAGATCACCCCTGAGACTGTNNCAGCAAGGTCCACGAGCTCCTCGAGTCTAAGTTCACTAGAGACTCTGTC